ATCGCGCGGTGGCAGCGGGAGGCCCCATTAGCTAAAGTGGTACCTCAGGTTAAGAACAGTTTCAGGTTAAGAACGGAGCTCCGGAACAAATTAAGTTCTTAACCCGAGGTACCACTGTACTCTCAATCTGCCTTCCACACTCCAAGTGTGGATTTCTCCACAAGTGTACACATTATTTACATATAATTCTTCTACTTCTCCCTTCCTGCTTGGCCTATTCCTTTTAAGCAGATTGTACCCCTCAGTTTCTACGTTCCAGTCATGAGTTTCAGTAATGCTTATTCGGTCATATTTTCCACCATGTACTAAGAGGTCAAGTTTTTGCTTGCTTATTTATTATATTCTGTGCATTTGTGTAGAGGCAACTGAAATGCACACTGCTGCCTCTGTCTCCCTCCATAGGGAGTCACCTGCCATCACCACGTGATGCAGCAACACTTGAGGGCAAGGAAACTGGACTCAGAATTGGGAGTCACTGCACACATGATGGGAATTGTTAACCCCAACTTGGTGCAGCCATTTTATCTATTTATCTTCAACTCTGTTGTTGTTTAGTTGTGTCCGACTCTTCGTGACCCCATGAACCAGAGCACAGCAGGCACTCCTGTCTTCCACTGCCTCCCACAGTTTGGTCAAACTCATGTTTGTAACTTCGAGAACACTGTCCAACCATCTCGTCCTCTGTCGTCCCCTTCTCCTTGTGCCCTCCATTTTTCCCAACATCAGGGTCTTTTCCAGGGAGTCTTCTCTTCTCATGAGGTGGCCAAAGTATTGTAGCCTCAGCTTCAGGATCTGTTCTTCCAGTGAGCACTCAGGGCTGATTTTCAACTCTGATCTTCAACTCTTTTAATGTGATTACTGATCTCTCTTTTCTCATTTATCCTTATAATGGTGCCCTCTGAGATGTGAATAGTACTGTTCTGGAGAACGAAAGAGATCTTGCAGAGAATTCTTTTTTTTTCTTGCAGAAGATACCTTGTTCCTTCTGCCTGAAATGTGGATGTTCTGCTACTGAGCTGTGGCCTTTCCTCAGTGGTCAGGGTCAGGGAGTTGCAGCCCAACAGCATATTTGGAACCCAAGGTTGCAGAACTCTGTGTTAGGGCAAGGGATATAACTCAGTGGTGGATTCCATGTTTTGTTAGCAAAAAGTTCCAGGTTTGGTCTCTGACATCTTCAGTTATAAGGATTGGGCAACAAATGATGTAAAAGACTTCTGTTTGCCTAAGACCATTGAGTGGTCCAGTGACCATCCAGTGAGGCTATGTAAATATTAGCAGCTGGAAACGCTGTGAAATTTATTCCCCCCCTCATGTTTCAAGTTGTTTTTCTTTACTTTGCTGCACATGTCAGAGAGGTTGCAAGGTTGTCTTCACCCAATGCGTGTTACCCTATTCATTTCCTTGTGCCAAACTTCTATTTGCTGAAGCTGGCACCTGTGCAGGTATACTGGCTGCCTGAAATCTACTTACCTCAGCTGCACTGCAGCTTCCATTTTCTAAGTGTATGGATATTGATTTGAGGAGAGTGCATGAAAGAGGAATCCTGAAGAAGCTTATGGGAGACAGGTAGATAACATCATGCTAACATCATGCTTAAAACAGCTTAAAACACCAAAGGTTGGGAGGTGGCACAAATGGTAACACAACTTCTAAGGAGATGATTGTGGGCTAGACAGACCAATAGTCTGACCTGTTGGAAGGCAAACAGCTCTGTGTCTAGACTAGTGCTTTTCAAACCTGGGTCCTCAGCTGTTGGACTACATCACCCATCTTCCCTAGCTAGCAGGACCAGTGGTCAGGGATGATGATGGAAATTGTAGCCCAACAACCGCTGGGGACCCAGGTTTGAGAAACCCTGGTCTAGATCATAGAATCACAGTGGATCATTTCCTCGTGGTTGTCTTGTGCAGCACACAGCACACCCTGTAAATTAAACCATCCGGGTAGGTGTCTCCATGTTACCTGCTTCCTGGTCCGTTTGAGCACATTCTGTTAAAAAGCCAACAGCCTCCAGGAGTCCTATAGAGGATGAGGATTTTAGGACCTGCTGCTATGGAAAATTTCATTTTTACTCCAAGCTCTTACTGTCTTTCCATCCTTCTTGTGTCCAACAAGGGCCCTTGTGCATGACCTCTTGGGTGTTCTGCTGATGCCAGTTCTGTTTGTTTTAAAAAGCAAAAGCTGGTTCCTTGGTGTGACAAGCTTTCGAATTTAATGTCTTGTGGAAGAGCAGGGCTGACCAGGTGTGTTGACTACCTGGGGATGCAAGAAGCTACCTTACATAGTCAGACCATGGTTCCATCAAGCAAATAACATGGGTAGGCACTCTCCAGGGTTTCAAACAGGGAATCTTTCCCAGTCCTACCTGGAAAGGCCAGTGACTGAATCTGGGACCTTCTACATTCAAAGTATTTGCTCTGCCAGTGAGCTATGGTCCTTAACGCAAAAGAACTAGGAGCATAGCATTATGCAGGGTCATACCATTGGTCCATCTAGCTCTGTATAGTCAGCGCTGACTCGCAGTGACTCTTCGGGGTTTCAAAGAGGGAAACGCCAGGGAATTTAATCTTTGCATGCCAAGCTGATACTCTACCCTTGAACTGTTCCTCTTCCTGTACAGCTACTCCCCTCTCTTTCTTAGTGTGTGCTTCTTTGAACACAGCTCTTGGGTTCTGTGATGGAAGAAAGGCAAGATATAAAAGTAAAAAAACAAGCTGATAAAACAAGCACTTGCCTGTTTCTAGAAATCAACCCCCAAAAACATTTGAAGTAGGGTTTATTTTTTTTGGGGGGGGGGAATATATCCTAGAGTCTTCAAAGATGCGGTGTTAAGTAAGTTCGAGAATTCCTTCCCTTTTTAAAAGTCACCTGGGGGCTTTAGCAAGCTTTTGTTTTTTAACCCTGTATGAGGAGCTTGTGTGTGTGTGAGACACACGCTAGCAATTTTGAAATTTCATTTGTACAGATTTGGTTGCCGCTAATCGCTGTGTTTGAATTGCTTTAAGAGGGTGGCAGATTCACTGTGCCTAACAGTCTCCAGAACATACGATAATCTGGTAAATCCCCCTGATCTAAGTGCACAGTATATGCCTGCACGAATGTGCTTTTAAAAAAAGAAAAAGAAATCGTTTGCACAAACTATACATTCCCTGGAAATTTGCTGCTTTGGGGCGTCCTCAACCTTCTCCTATTGCAGACAGTACCGCTGATGTCCAAATTATTAATGCCCAGAAAGAGGAACCAGAGTGGTGCTAAGAGGGAATTATTTGGGAAAGCCACCCCCTTAAAATGCATATTCCTGTATCTTTTTTTCATTTTTGAGAGGATCTGTGCTTTCCTCCCTTCCTTTTGGTTTGGGGCTTTAGTTTAAGGTAATACTTGGTAGGCAGGTGGGTTACCTGTGCCCAGAGGAGATGGCTCTTGGCTACTTTGTAGGGCTTTTTTTGCGCCATCCACATTGGGGATGCCTTCTTTTGTTTGCAGGTGCCTCTTGCAGACATGTGTGTGGGCTTGCATTTGAAGATGGAAGTAGCTATTTTGCTGGAATTCAGCAACTCCATTTGTTGAAGGGAAATAACACATGGGCAACCCTTTCTTCCGCTCTCTACTCCCCCCTACCCCCCAAAAGAAACCCCCCACTGGAAGGCATCAGGGAGGATTGGCATTCAGTCACAAAATGCCACCTGGAATTCTTGCTTCCCATTTCAAGGGCAGTTCCTGCAGGACATGTTTTCTACTGGGCTGGATTCTTGCATTCCTTTTCTTCTTTTTTTAAGAGCCCAAATGGCTTTAGACCTGAAAAGTGGAACCCGCCCTGTTGTTTCTTAGTTGGCTATATATATATATATATATATATATATATATATATATATATATATATACACACACATATACATATACACACAAACAAACCAGCGACTCAGACCAGGATCTTCTCTACTTTTTCAGAGAGAGGTGCCTTTCAAAACTGGGCCGGGGGTGTTGAACAGAGAGAGAGAGGCTCTCCTCACGTTGCAAACACTAGCTGCTTCTTCTGGCAAAAAAAGAAAGAGAAGGGGAAAAAATGGCAGGTCGTCGTATGTCTGTAAACAATGCAGTTATGAAATGGCAGTCCTCAGCTGAGCCGGAGCATGCTCACAAAGCAGCCTGTAGGGGGAGGTGATCTGAGAGGAGATGATCTAATTCAGAGCAATTTTGGGGATTGAAGGGAAAGGCCAGGCTCCATCCCCCATGACAGAGCAGAAACGAGACTTCTGGGAGTAGGGCCTTGTAGGCTGTGTCTGGGAGCATGTAAAGGGATCTGCTGCTCTTCCTGGGGTCTTTCTTGGCTACTGGGTGGTGAAGATGCCTTGTTTTTTGCTTGGGCTTTGTTTGCTTGCTTAAATGCTGTTCCAAAAGGGACCAAGTCTTAGCTGATGACTTTATCTGGGCTTAGTGGGGATATAGACCTTTGGGTGTAGTTCCTTCCTCTTAGTCCTCCCCCCTCCTCACAGCTTTTCTCTCTCTGTTCCTCATGCTGAAACCCTCCCCACCCACCCTTTAGCTAGAGTGCCTGGTTTACTTTGGCCTTTTCCTCCTACTGGCTGAGTCTCATTTTGAACATTTTTTTGCACTCCTTGGTGGGGAGGCCTTGCACACTCCATTTCACAAGCACATGTTTGGGGGCAATGGGGATGGGCACCCTTGTGTTTTATCTCATACCTGTCTGAATTCTCTCCATCTAATCTTCTGAAATTTAGAATCAGCCAGGTACAGGGGAAGGAAAGGAGAAGGGCAGTTCTGATTATTTGGGGGTGAAGGGGGGGGAACCTTTATTCAAAATGGTAACTTCTGGGAAGTGAATATTCTCTCTCTCTCTGTGTGATCTTTATCTATCTAACATCTATCTCGCTATATATTCTCATATTCATTCTTTGTATTTCTATGGGCCAACAATCCTAGTTGGGTTTGCATTGCCTCTTCTCTCCCTTTATAATGCTTTGTTCTTGTTACTCTTGTAGGTCTTCTAGTGGCCTGAGGTTTTCGAAATGGACTGTTTCCTGCCATCAAGAAGGTCCTAGTTTGCCAGACAGATCCTAAGCATGTTTACCCTTAAGTAAGTCCCATTTTATATCCTTGAGACTTACTTCCAGATAAGTGTGCTTAGGATAGCACCTTAAACGCTCTTCTTTCATCTCCCTCCTCCCTTCCTGTTGTGTCTTTCCCCTACCCTTGGGAGACCAGAAGTTCAGGATAATACTGCAGTATTTTTTTGCAGGGGAGGGTAGCAATGACAGCCTGAGCAAAGAGACAATTTCCCTACTGTGTGTTTGGGCATGGAGTTCTGCATTGACCCTTGCAATTAATGCTTAATAGCTCAAAGGGCCTCTGTGATTCCTTTCCTCTTATGTGTGTGAATGTGGGGGGGGGGGCGTTTAATAGCTGTGCTAGACAAGAGGTATTGTCTTGGTGAGCTGGCCTTATGAAATGCTTTTGAATATTAAAAGGCACACCTGAGAACAATAGGGAGGGAGATTTCTTTGTTTGATTGCTGTGGGCCCCATACTGCAAAGGGCCTCAACCTACAAAGATGCAGTGGGGAAAAATGATGATGTAAACCAACAACCTTCCCTCTTTTTTTTGCATCCTCCATTTTTTTGGGGGTCTTATTCAGGAATGTGCAGCATCATTTATGGGCATCTTCGGTGTGCTTGGGGTATCAGAAATCACGCCTATAAAATGCTTTTCAAAATATCCTTCTCTGGAACTGCATCTGCATTTTAATTATTTTCAAAAATAAATCAGTAAAATTAATACTGGTTAATAATTGGCAACGAAAACGCTTTGCTTCCTTGTTTCCCTTCCTGCCCTGCCAGTGTTAAGGAGGCCAGTTAAATAAGAATCAGCAAGGTATAAAGGATGCTGCGTGGTTTTAATCTCTAGTTGTTGGGAGTTGCATTATTTTATTTATTATTAAGGGCTTTCGTCTATCAGTTTTGCCTCCTATACATATTGCATGCTTAGGCTGTTTTTCCACAGTACGTGAATAGTTTCTTTGGCGAAACAAAATCCTGGAGTACGTGATTAGAATGCGGTGGGTTTTTGTGTTGGTGTGGGGTTTCTTTTTACTAGAGATGGAGGTGTGACGTTGTGACTCTAGAAAGCATTAGACCCTTGTGTTGGGTGGGATGTGGGGCTGTGTTGCAAGAGATGGGAAGAGCAGCCTAGCTCTTCTGAATCATTTTGCTCCATGCATCTGTGTGTGCTTTATAGGCCTTTCAGAACATTCCTTCTGGTTGTTTTTTGGGAGGTGTGGGTCCAATTTCCTGCATGCAGATTTTGCTCTGGCTGGGTACAGTATTTTTATACTAGCATGGCTAGATGTTAGCCTCCCCTTGATTTGTTTCCTGCATGTCTTCTGTGGGTTGACCTATTTCAGTTGAAATAAGAAGGCGTTGCTTCTGGGTTTCCCTTTTGTGTGTGTGTGTGTGTGTGTGTGTGTGTGTGCGCTTCCAAATGATAATTTCAAAACAACATCATCAACAAAACCACAGACCAAGAGAAGCCCAGTTAAGGATGGCACCTTAGCATATTGAACACCTTTGTGTGAGGAAGGGTGTGGGGAAGAGTAGGAGGAGTGAAGGCCGAAAAAAGCTGTGCTTTGCTGTTGAAATGCATGTGTAGTGGCTCCTTTTAGTACGTTCTCATTAGATAGATGCAAGTTGCTCCAGGATAGGGTTTTGAGGCTTTGCTCTTAATGGATCTGGTTCAGCGTTTGGAAAAGATGCTCATCCTTGGGGTCTTCAGGAGCATTCCTTGCATGCACCTTCTGTCATTCCAAGGTAGCAGCGGAGAACAGGACTCAGAAATGGAATGGAAAACCATTCCTAGCTTGAGCTTTTTGGATTGCCATATCCCCCACCCCCTATCTTTAAAAAAAAAAGCCTCTACAAAGGGGCCTCACCAGCTCTAGGCTTTGAGATGCAATGATTTTTCCACTGTGTTTCTGTGTCTGCATGTCATATAAATGCATATGTATGCCTAACCTTTGTGATGAATCTCCAGCAGCCGAAGATTAATAATCACTCTGTTGTGGGCAGGGAGAATGGAGGAAGACAGCTGTAGGGAAAGGGAGGGAGGAGAGTGATTAGGAGACTCTTATTCTGAAGCAGTCTTTGCTTGGCCGTTGGCTTTTGTTTGGGAGTGCTGTTAGAGCAGACATTTCTCTGCATGGGAGGGTTGGGTATAAGATTTCTCTGCCAATCAGGAGCCGACAGATTGGGGCATGGTGGAGTGTGAGCAGAAGGGAAGTTTGCTTTGCATTTAAGTGGGTGTGGGAGGAGAAATGGAGGTACTGTCACAGTTGTTGGGGGAAACATGTTGGGGTGGGCTTTGGTGGGTGTTTGGAAGGAGCTGGTGGGGCATTGCAGTCTGTGGCTGATTTGTGGGGAGCAGTGTGTGGCTCGAGTGTCGTCTTTGGGGCAGGGTGTAGGGTTCTCCATGGCTCTGTTTTGTGAGAAATGCCATTCAGGCTTGCAAACGCTGACTGCAGTTCATATTTATGATTTGATCAAGGTGGAGGGAGTTTGCATCCTTGGCATTTTCATGGAGTTGAAGCAAGTGCCTCCTTTGGTTATAAGACACTTCAAAACCTGTCGTTCCCCACTCCCCTTCTCCCTACAAGACAAAGAGATAAAATAGTCCTCATTTAAACACCACTGTTGGATTTGGGATGTTGTCTTTTGGTGGAGTGAAACTTAATTTTAAAAGAAAATAAGGAGCTCTTGGAAGAATGGCTGCAAATGGTGCTCAGTGCATACAAGGCTGGCAAAAGTGTCTAATGGGATAGCTGTTTTTGCATTCCTGGAGGTAGGGATCGTGAGCACATTGTGCATTGTCTTTGAAAAGCATTGTTGCATGAACTTTGTGGAAGTGTTCAAACTGTTGGTTACGGCTTGCTCTGTCTTCATAGCCTATTCTGTTGACTACCTGCAAAAGCCTTTGCCAGCTGTGTTGGCTGGGGCTGATGGGAATTGTAGCCCACAGTATCTGGAGAGCACTAGGTTGGTGAAGGTTGCTCTACAGCAGTGTTTCCCAACCTTGTGCCTCCAGCTGTTTTTGGACTACAATTCCCATCATCCCTTGCCACTGGTCTTGCTAGTCAGGGATGATGGGAGTTGTAGTTCAAAAACAGCTGGAGGCACAAGGTTGGGAAACACTGCTCTACAGTATGTTCTGGTTTCCCAGGTACTTCAGAGAATTCTGAATTTCCTCTCTGTCCCTAAACAATACCTACCTTGTTTGATAGGGGTGTCTGTTTCAAAGATCCTCAAGTATAGCAATCAAACCAGCCACCTCAAACCCTGTGGCGTTTTGCTGGAATTGAAGCACACAAATGAAATGCCTGCCTGCCATTTTTTATTATGGGGCTGGGATAGTGAGAGAAAATTGCTTTTGGTGAGCATAGATGCAAAAGGGCCATAGCCCTGTGTTAGAGCTCTTGCCATATGCATGCTCATCGTCCTAGGTTCAATCCCTGGCATATCCATTTGGAGCTGAACATGTTCCCTGCCTGAAACCCTGGAGAGCCTCTGCCAGTCAGTGTCTATACAATACTGAGCTGGATGGACCAATGGGTCTGACTCAGCATAAGGCAGCTCCCCATGTTCCCTGTTTTTATGCTAACATTGAGTGCCCTGGTTTTTCTTTTTCGTGGCTTGCACTTTGTTCGCAGCCATGAAAAACACCTCTTAACAGATGAAACATTGGATTAGTTTCTAGGATTCTGGGTCTCCCTTGAAAGGGAGCTGCTTCAGTATATGCTGCACACCTGATTCATGTTTGCTCACCCTCTGATGCTGCACCTGTTCAGTGTGTCCCAGACTGACACTGGGACTGGCAAAAGGAAGGCAAATTCATGGAGCACAAGGCTAGCAGTGACTACTGGAGACATTGACTGTGGTCTTCTTCCGCTGTCAGAGGCGTTTAGCCTCTGAGTGTCAGTTACTGGGAGTCGCAAGTGAGAAGAGAGTGCTGTTGTGCTCTGAGGTGCTGCTTGCAGGCTTCCTATTGGCACATCTGGTGAGAGGGAAAAGCAAAATGCTCACTGACTGTAGCAGGAAGGATCTGGGGTGCAAAAGGACACATACCTTCTTGTCTGCAAGAATTCATTTAACACAGTGCACTTGCTTCTGAGCACAGCCAAGTATTTTACAGTCATAACTCGGGTTACAGACACTTCAGGTTGTGTTTTTTCGGGTTGCGGACTGCCAAAACCCGAAAGTACCAGAACGGGTTACTTCCGGGTTTCGGCAGTCGTGCATGTGCAGAAGTGCTAAATCACACTTTGCGCATGCACAGAAGCACCGAATTACAACCCGCGTGTGCGCAGACGCGCCACTGCGGGTTGCGGACGCTGCAGGTTGTGCACATGCATCCCACACGGATCATGTTCGCAACCTGAGTGTCCACTGTACTCTTACCAGGAGCATAAGAAGCTGTCTTTTGCCAGGTGAAACCATTGGCCCACCTAGCTCAGTCCCTGCCCAGCCCTACTTGTGGCTGCCAGGGATTGAACCCGGACCTTTCTGCAGGCAAAGCAGATGCTCCAGAACTGAGCTGTGGGCCTTTCCAGGAACCTATGAACCAGCGTTATACAGAGTCAGACCATTTGTCAGTCTTAGCCCAGTATTGTCAACTCGGACTGGCAGCAGCTCTTTGGGGTCTTGAGTGGAGACAGGTTCATTTCCCACATTTTGCTACTTCATCCTATTATTATTTTTCTTTTGTATAAACACAAAAAAACCTGGTGATGCCAGGGATGGAACTGGGGTTTTTCTGCAGGCAAAGCATATAATATTCTCCACCACTGGGTTATAGCCATTCCCCCAGATCTCTGGGAGATAGGGAGGATTACTTATATTGTTTATTTCTTCGTAAGGTCCCTTGCCATAAGATCCCAAGGTGGTTTGCAGCAATAGAATACAGTGGACGCTCGGGTTGCAAACATGATCCCTGCAGGAGCGGCACGTCTGCGCATGCGCAAAGCGTGATTTAGTGCTTCTGCGCATGCGCAACTGCCAAAACCTGGAAGTAATCCGTTACGGTAGTTCCGGGTTTTGGTGGCCCGTAACCCGAAAAAACGCAACCTGGAGCATCTGTAACCCGAGGTATGACTGTATACAATTATAAAAGCAAATGAAACCATTGCAGTTATAAAACACACAAATGGAATGGAACAATACAAATTCAAGCAGAAGAGGGGGTTCTGCAAAACAAAACGCTTTAGCTTTTGAATTTAGTTAATAGTTGTATTTTGTTTTTCCAGTGACAATCTTCAGCTCAAAGCGGCTCACAATAATAGCAGTGACATTAAAATTAGCCAGCATTACAATAGCCACAACCACGTCATAAACACAATAGGATATAAATACGGCAGAAAGTGAATGAAGTAAACAGTGCAATTCAATACAAACTCAATAAAAGAAATGGCTGCTGAGCACCAGCCTTGTGCCAGGCGACATACGGGCTTTTGCTGCACTGAACGCAGAAGCAGCGCATGTCCAGGCAGCAAAAACCTTTCATAGTTGTTCGTCTAGACTTCTTTTTCACCTTCGAAGAAAGGAATCAGTTTCTTCTGTGTTGTTCTAGGAGGAGTGGAGCAACAGGTTCCGAAGAGGAACCAGATTGTCTTCCTGTCCATCAAAAACGATAAAGGGCATGGAGCAGTTCACCTCGGCTGCAGTGCCTGGGACTTTGTAGCTTAGAGGAAAGGCAAGTCAGAAGTGACATGGTAGAAGTTTATGAAACTTTGCAAGGCATGGAGAAGTGGATAGAGAAAAGCTTTTGCCTCTCTCTCATAACACTGGAACTAGCGGACATCCAGTGAAGTTGGACGTTGGAAGGTTCAGGACAGACAGAAGAAAATACTATTTTTTTACACCGCACGTGGAACCCTCTCTTACAGGAGGCAGTGATGGCCACTAACTTGGGCTGCACAGATTAATGGAGAATAAGGTTGATCAGCGACTGCTAGCCATGATGGAGGCTGTGTTCTACCTCTGTGGTTGGAAGTAGGGATGCTTCTGAATGCTAGTTGCTGGAAAGCACAGGAAAGGGCAGGTGGGCTCTTGTGCTCAGGTCCTACTTTAAGGGTTCACACAGGCATTTGGTTGGCATCTTTGAGAATGTGATGCTCTACTAGATATGCCATCGACTGATTGAGCATGGCTCTTCTTAACGTTAATTACTTCGAGATTTTGAGTTGGATGCGTTATCTAGATCGCCAGGGTTTGTTTCAAACACTTAACTCTGCTGCACTATAGGACTTAAGTGATTATTTTTACTGTTAGCTTAGTCTTGCTTTTTTTTTTTTTTTTGTCGTCGTCGTCATCCCTATCCCCTCCGGATACTTCATTTCATTTTTATTTTCCTATATTCGGCCTATTATTGCCTGTATTCCTAAGTACATAGACCGGAGAAAAAGTTATATGGAAATGTGAAGCTGCTTTATTTGTTCATTTCTGGGTTAGATAATTGGTCTTAATAGCCCAAAACTATCTGCTCTGAGTGGGAGCAGCTTTTGAAGATCCGAGACTTCTTAGCAGAGGCTCTTTTTACATCAGGGGTGGGAAACCTCAGACCTAGAGGCCAAATGTGGCCTCGCCCTTGGGAGCCTCCTCAGACCAGTCTTTCTGAACCTTGGGTCCCCGTATTTTATTGGACTACAACTCCCATCATCCCTAGCTAGCAGGACCAGTGGTCAGGGATGATGGGTGTTGTAGTCCAACAACATACAGGGACCCAAGGTTCAGAAAGGCCGCCTTAGGCAATGCACTCTGCTCAACCACATATCCTCCTTGAGTCTTTTTGCCTGGCTGGCAAGCATCTTGCTTTCCTGGCTGGAGGATAGACATATAAGGAACACCAGGTTAGGGTGAGAGTTCTGGCTTGAATTAGACCCATGTAGTGAAGATTATAGGGACGCGGGTGGCACTGTGGGTAAAACCTCAGTGCCTAGGACTTGCCGATCGCATGGTCGGCGGTTCGAATCCCCGCGGCGGATGCGCTCCCGTCGTTCGGTCCCAGCGCCTGCCAACCTAGCAGTTCGAAAGCACCCCTGGGTGCAAGTAGATAAATAGGGACCGCTTACCAGCGGGAAGGTAAACGGTGTTCCGTGTGCTGCACTGGCTCGCCAGATGCAGCTTGTCACGCTGGCCACGTGACCCGGAAGTGTCTGTGGACAGCGCTGGCTCCCGGCCTATAGAGTGAGATGGGCGCACAACCCTAGAGTCTGGCAAGACTGGCCCGTACGGGCAGGGGTAGCTTTACCTTTTGCTTTAGTGAAGATTATATGGGAAGGCCAGAGACTGCCTTAAACCCTTATATAACCAGTGGTCTGCAGGTGAGTTTCTCCTGCAAGTTCCAAAGATCTCAGAAGTCCCACTCTGCAGTAACTCAGAGCAGAGCTTTTGGAGTGGCTGCCCCCATTGTGTAGATTAGCCTTCCTATTGAGATACCCACTATCTTCACTTTCCAAAAACAGTTTGCTTCTTTCTGTTTCCCCAGCTGGATAAATGGATCTTTGCCACCTGTACCTAGTTTATATTGGTTTTGTTTTGTTTTAAATGTGTTGGCTGCTTTTTTGTACTTTTAACTATTTGTTTGTTTTGCAGCTTTTATTGTGCATCATCACCTTCAGACAATTTTATAGAAGGCAATTAATAAATTAATGGTGATGATAACAGTAATAATAATTTGAATCGAAGTTATTCTACTCCAGACTTAGCTCTTTTAACCCAGCAGTGGGAAACCACCAACTCGCTTTCCTAATTAGTCCCACCAAGCCTCTCCATGTGGCCAAGCCATGCTCATATATGATGTCAGGGTTGATGGGAGTTGTGGGTCTTGCACAGTTGGCATTTGTCAATGTCAACAATCAGCTGATAGTTGTTGCTTCTATCCATTCTCCAATGATCATCTGGTCAGGGTATAACCACTACACTTCCTTGTAACTTTCTGGCAGTTTCTTGTTGCAGTTACTTGGGAGTACATTTTTTTTTTTTTTGGCCTATGGGACTCAGCTCTGGTTTGGGGAAGAAAGCATGTCCTACTCAGCAGTGCCTCTTGCTAATTTATAAGCATATAAGAATCTGAATTTCCTCTCCTCCCTTCTATTCCATTTAGCAAGCTCTAATGAGTAAAGGAGAAGCCAGAAGAGAGATTTGTATGAAGACAGAGCTGCTGAAAGATATCACCAACAGCAAGGAAGAAGGTAAGCAATGCATTCTGCTTGGGGCTGACCTTAAGGGCATCCTTTTCAGGCCAGAACTCTTGCTCTTCTGGGCCCTCTTGTAAACCTTAGGGTGCCTGGTGTTAAGGGAGGAAAACCTTACATTAAAGCAAGAATGCAGGCAAACAACCATGGTATTTGACCGGGTGAATTCGTTATCGGCATATATTCAGGCAGTGTGCAGAAGACACCCCAAATAAATGTAACACAATCCTACGCGGGTCAACCCAGAAGCAAGTCCTATTGAGTTCAGTGATGCTTATTCCCAAGCAAGTAGAATTGCGATCTAGGTCTTGGAGCTATGGAATGGGTTTAAAACACACATTTTATTTCCTTTCTGAATCTCATTGGTAAAAAAATATGTTTTGGATCTGCACTGGTCAAGTCCCTAAGAGAGGATAAAGTGAATGTAGATCTTAGATTTTTAATTGTAGCAAAAATTCCTTTAGCAGGCGTGTTCAACCTCTGTGTCTTACAATGCTCCCCGTCAAGGGAAAACCATTTAAAAAATGAATATACTGTAAACCACCACAGGTATACACACAACTTGAAATACTCTTGCAGTTCAGTGACACAGATATCTATCAGAATTCCTCAATGAAATGTGAATTTGAAGAAACCACCAAAATGTTTGTTTTCTGTTGAGAATGCCCACCTTGTTTGTCTACTTACAGTTGCATACTATCTTAAATTTGAGGCAGCATGTGGGGAATTAGCTCATTTTATATCCTCATGACCCTGTTGTGGGAGGGTAGACTTGCCTGAGATTAATCTTGAGGGACAATTTGAGAAATGTCCTTTCTTATAAGCATAAGAACTCCCATGCTGTAAGGTGGACAAGAAAGAGTGTTGGCTTTGAATGTGGGAGATTTTGGTTGAGCTAGTTTCTGGTCATCTGCAGAAATAGTGTCTGTAGAAAAGGTGTGAAATTGTTGAGGATATTTGTGCTCATCCTTGTACTTCATCGATCCTCCCTCCACAAATATACACTCAATGAAGATCAAGATGGTTATCAAGGAGTAAGGGCCATAATTTTCGTAATACTGCACTGGTTTTTGATGAAAATGAGGATTCTAGTGCAGAAGGGTGTGTGTGTGTGTGTACCCACACCCACACCTATATACATAAACACACACACACACACAGAGAGAGAGAGAGAGAGAGAGAGAGAGAGAGAGAGAGTGTGTGTGTATTCCGGAAGGGCATTCATTGCAGTAGAAAAGTAATACTATGGTTATTAAAATAATGAGATGCTTTATGAACTTTGCTTTGTAGAACAAATACAATAAAGTAAGTTGATTGAAACCATATCTGCAAATATTGTATACAATAAGTAATCCATATTGTGGAAAGCCGTTCTTGAATAAAAATATCTTCAGTGGGTGCCTAGACAAGTTTCCCCCTATATTGGTATAGTTATCAAAGGAGCCAACTAGTTTGTGGGTTAAAGAATAAGCAATAATATAATCATTTTAATAAACTGTTAAATACAATAGCACTGCCTTTACAAATTCTAAGAATAATAAAATAAATTCTTCAGATGTATATCTGAATTGTTGCATAAATGACTGGGGCACACTTTGGGGAGGCGTATATTTAAAATATTTCCAATATAGATCCAGATTGGAATATAAATATCACTTATAAAAGACTGGGTGAAAGAGGAAGGTCTTTGGTAGGCACTGATAAGATGACAGAGACATGAAATGGAAAGGAGTTCCAAAGAGCAGGAGCTCTCTCTTCCAGTATGCTGTTGAAAACCAGTAGCTGGGAGTCATAAGTGGGGAAATACTGTTGCACCAGGTGCTGCTTTCAGGTTCCCAGAGTCATCTTACTTTGAGAATTGGATGGTGGAGATGTGCTTTTGGCCTCAAATAGCCAAGGTTTCCTTATGCTTGGAAGAACATAGGAAGTCGCTGTATATTGAGTCAGACCAGTGGTCCATCTAGGTCAGTATTTTATACACTGGCCGAGGGGATTGTACTTGGAGTTGCTGGGGTTTGAATCTGAAACTTTATATGCATAGAAAGCAGGTGCTCTGCCACTGAGCTGTGGCCTGTATGTTCCTTTCAGCCTTCACTCCATCTATCCCCCTCTTTTTCTGCCTCCAGGATTTAATGCTATGGCAGCAGATGAAAATGCCATAGAGAAGCAAATTGGAGAGCCAAAGATGGCCCCTGGAGGTGAAACCAATGGCTCCTATGAAAGCAACGAAGCCAAGAGCCACACAAATGCAGCTAAGAACCCTCAGGACAGTGTAAAAGTGAGCCAAGGGGACTCCACTGCGAAGCTGAGCAGAGTAGCAGAGAATGGCATCTCTGAGAGAGACAGTGACACTGGGAAGCAGAACCACATAAAAGCAAACGATTTCATGCATACTTCGGTCACGGGGAGCAATGGCTACATTTTGCCGAAGCAGATGGCTCATGGGCCGCCCAAACGGACTTCTAGTGGGGCTTTTGCCACGAAGACACTTCCCGCAGGAGGAGGCAAAGCAAAGGCGATGAGCACCTTCTCCCAGGCACAGGCTGCTCTGCCGCCTAAGTCTGGGGAGGGTGGGAATGAAATGGAGGCTAAGAAATCAGCAGCGGCGCCTGCCAGCGTCAAGATCCACAGAGCTCGAAAGACGATGCCCAAGCCCTCCTCTAGCCTGGTAAAGTATACATAAAGTATCTGCTAATAAATTGTGGGGCGAGGTGTGTGTGGGTGTGTAGAGGTTGCGTGTGTGTGAGTGTGGGCCAGTGTAAGCTTGAGGCTGTTGTGCAGCATTTATTCTCTCCCCAGGTGTCTGTCAAACTTGAATGTCTCTGTAGAATTCTGGGGGTTCCCAGCTCCTGAGAAGAATGACTTCTGGGGCAAACTCAGTCTAGAGTTACTTTATCTGTAACTTTGATTTAGAAAAAGATTTTGTGATCTTCTAGGACAGGAGTTGCCAATGTGGTGCCAGTGAACACAACAGCAGCCTTCAGGTCCTGCCCTGGTTCCCATTCTCTGAACACACGTATACACTGTCCCCTTGGTCACGACGAGGTGAGGCGGTTACTTCTTTTCTTGCTTGGAAAGTGCATAGAGCTGAAGGAGGAAGTGGGAAGAGGGGCACTCTTTCCCACTTCCTCTTCAAGCTCTATGTGCTTTTCCAGGCTAAGGTTAATGGGTCCAGCTTTCAAACAGATCCCTTGGAAAAGGAAGTGAATGTGTGCACGTTTTCTTTCTGCTTATTGTTTGAGGAGCGGCTGCTGATTCAGGGTCAGTGAGAGAGACTTGATCAGAAGAGTAATATCTGTAGTACTCCCTCAAAAAATCCAAAGGTGCCCACAGATGTTGCAAAGGTTGAGAACCCCTGTTGTAGGAGCACCGTGACCAGCAAGTTTCCTTTGAAGTGGTTTTTTTTTTTCCATTCACCCATTCATTTCCTTCAGTAAATTGTATAGCTGGAACATTCTGTGCTCATCCTGTAACAAGAGCAGCTGATATCTCTATCCCTCCTGCTTCGGAAGGGGATGATACCTGTGTTTCTCCCATCGCTTGCAGACAGTGCACAAGGAACTGGCTTGATGGTTTCATGCCTTTAAGATCTGCCCTGGTGTAATTGTATCTCTATTTGTATTTTTTATATACAAATATCTATCTACCTATCTATCTCTAGAAGATCATGTGGCTGAGCTGTATACAGCCAGGCACCCAAGACACTGATCGATAAACATTTACACAACTTACACATGTGTGATTCTTGCATGAAGCTCAGGTCTTCTTTAAGCTTGCCAGTAGATTCTTGGTTCTTGGATTTATTGGCTCATCAGCAATCCTTCCACATTTTCCAGAGCAGCTGCCCTGGGGCAGGCTGTAGATATCTGGCATTGTGTTCAGGGAGGCTTTGCTCAGAGTGCATAAACAGCTCTATAATTCTTCCACCTGGCATTGATTTTTAAAGGCTCCTGCACTTGTGTGTTGTTAACAGGGACCTAGGATTGTGGTAGTGGTGGTTCACCTTTCAGAAATGTGTTTCCAACAGCCTATTCTCACCTGATGCCTGGCAAGTGTATTTAAGGTGCTGGAAGGAATTGCTTGAAGTTGTATAGTCAGAGCACGTCAGAGTGCAAGTAGATAAATAGGTACCGCTCCAGCGGGAAGGTAAATGGCGTTTCCGTGTGCTGCTCTGGTTCGCCAGAAGCAGGTTATATTTGCTGGCCACATGACCCGGAAGCTGTACGCCGGCTCCCTCGGCCAGTAAAGCGAGATGAGCGCCGCAACCCCAGAGTCAGCCACGACTGGACCTAATGGTCAGGGGTCCCTTTACCTTTACCTCATGTTATGTTTGTTTCAGGTTGCACGTTTTCAGGTTGCGTCCTGCGGCGACCCGGAAGTACCAGAAAGGGTTACTTCCGGGTTTCGCCGCTCATGCATGCACTGACGTGCAAAATGACGTCACGTGCATACGCAGAAACGGCGAATCGTGACCCATGCGTGCACAGACGCGGGTTGCATTCTTTTCAGGTTGCAAACAGGCCTCCGGAATGGATCCCGTTTGCAACCAGAGGTACCACTGTATATATAAGTCATTCAGCTAAAAGGCTGCTGAAGATGCCTTGATTCTTCCAGCAATTCATGAGGGTAAGCAGAGAAACTCACCAGCATTGAGCCAAGGTATAGAATGGAGAAAGGCTACGTATTGTAGATGTTAGTGCAGAGGTAGAGAATTGCAGGGCTGGAGGCCAAGTGCGCCCCTTGAAGCCTCTCTTTCTGGTCCTCGGAACTCTCCCCAGGCCACTGATCCTCACTGATACTACTTGCACCTCCAGTATTTTTGTTTATCTGGAATGTCAACTCTCATCATGTCTCCTGATGATGTTTCCTGCTTGGCAGGGGGTTGGACTCGATGGCCCTTGTGGTCTATTCCAACTCTATGATTCTATGATTCTATGATTCTCCTTCTTGCATGGATGGAGGGTAGAGCGGGATGTGTGTAGAAACTAGCTTACTGTACGGAGGAACAAATTTGCATTCATGCCCTGCCCACCATTCGCATGTGGACCTCTTATCTGAAAAAGGGAACTCCAGGATGGAATGCGGTACTTGGACAGCTGCCAAAATCTTCCCACTGCCTTGTTAGCTGAAAATAGTGGCGGCTAGGGATTTGTGATTTTTCTCTTCCTTGGAACAGTTACGGACAGCCCCCCCCCCCCCCAATTTATGCACATTCAATACACACACAATCATGTATATGTGAATCTCACTGAACCTGGAAGTGACCTGGAAACATCATAAACACATCACTGAAACATCATTTGGTGCATAGCTTATTATATATCTGAGTTTCTGGGTATACCCCCTTCACCAGCAACTTGTGAGTCTGCAGCCTGTTTGAGTTGCATGTCTCTGCATTGACCTGTGTGGAAAGCCTGTTGGTTTTCATAAGAATCACCCAGGTTTTCAGGTTTTTTTAGGCTACCTTTTGAAGCAAAGGCACTGTGTGTAAACAAAGGGTTGTATCAAAATGTTCGTTTGCTTCAGATTAGACCTACTGAAATAAATGTGCTTTTCTGTCATCACTGGAGGTTAACGCTGAACCTGAGAAGAGTGTCACATTTATATTTTCAGCCACAGTGGGAAGGGAGGAAAAACCCTGACTGCAACCCTGGAGAGCTACTGCCAGTCCGCGTAGACCAGCAGTTAGATGATTTGATTTTGCTATTAAACACTTTATTATCTTCCTAGAATGAACTGTACTGCTTCAGTTTCGCAGGTGCGGATCAGATTTTTTAAGTTCTCACTATGTTAAAAACACATCTCCAGTAGGTAGAAATGAACAGGGCAAGGGATTTATCTGATTATCAAGAATTTTTCTGGTTCCTTCATCCTGCGGGTTTAATACTTGAAATGTGAATTAGGCTGGAAACAAATGAGGCATCAGATTGTCTGGTTATGGCAAAAATACTATGCGTGATCTTTTTCTTCCATTTGATTTCTGAGCCAAATTAGCTGATAATAATAATAATTTGATTATTTATATGCCGCCAATCTGGCAGGGTTGCTACTTAATTTTTGGTGCCTGAAAAAAAGTAGGGTAGTTAATTCATTATTTTCACCCCTTACTTTTCTGTTTACGACAACTTTCCTCTATTATCCTGAAGGGTTTCCTTGGATGTTTATTTTACCAGGAAGCAAATTGCCTTAAAACAGAGATGGGGAAATTCAGGCCTGGGGGCCAAATCCATCTCCCTGAACCCCTCTATCTGGCCCTTGGAATTTCCCCCAGGCCACACCACATACTGACTCTGCTCATGCCCTGAGTGTGTTTTCCTTACCTGGAATGTACCCTTGAACATGTCTGGATGAGATTTAGGAGAGCAGTGTGTGTAGGAGATACTCAACTACAGTGGTACCTCTGGTTGTGAATGGGATCCGTTCCTGAGCCCCGTTCGCAACATGAGCAGAATGCAACCCGCGTCTGCGCGTGCTGCGATTCACCGCTTCTGCGCATGATGTCATTTTGAACGTCTGCGCGAGTGGCGAAACCTGGAAGTAACCCTTTCCGGTACTTCCAGGTCGCCGCAGGACGCAACCTGAAAAGATTTAACCTGAAGCGAACATAACAAGAGCTATGAAGGTAAAATTGCTCCAGCCACTTTTGTCTCTGGCCCTGCCTACCTACCCCTGGCATGCAGCCCTTAGGAAGTTGCCAGGAAAGAATATGGTCATGGAATTGTAGTGTTGGAAAAGGGACCCTTAGGGTCATCTAGTCAAACCCCCTGCAGTACATGAATCTTTTGGCCATTGTGGGGCTTGAACCCATAACACTTAAGAGCCTCATACTCTACCAACTGAGTCTTCTCAGTTCCTTGGGCAGAAATCAAGTTCCTTACCCCTTGCCTTAAATAAAGGGAAGATTTTGGAAGAAATGTCCATCTGTTTGGTTTTTTCCCTTCCCCCCTGCAGCATTTTAGGACTTAAAAATAAAGGTGTACATATGTGTATGTCTGTGTGTTACAACTGAGCTTTCCATAGAATCATAGAATCTTATGAAGGGACTCCAGGGGTCCTCTATTCCAACCCTGTGCAATGCAGGAATCTCAACTAAAGCATCCATGACAGGTGGCCATGATCTTGCAGTTTTACTTCCTTTCTGTTATATAAGGACTATCTTCTTGTTTTTGTTTTCGATCTGGAATTTTTTAGTCTCTTTGGCATCTGTTGCATTTGTTTCTCCCTGCGAAATATAAGTCTCCTTGCATTGAAATTGCTGTTGTCACTGTTGGCTCTGAACTGGCAGCCAATTTGAAACTCTTAGTTGAGAGTAAGACTCCAGGAAAACACCCCAGGGACTTTTCTTTAATCATTTCATATAAGAGACTGACATGTGTAAGTGACCCAGGTTATTGCAATGCTGGTGGAAGACAGCTCTGTTGTTGATTATTATATTATATTATATTATATTATATTATATTATATTATATTATATTATATTATATTATATTATAATATTATATTATATTATATTATAATATTATATTATATTATATTATAATATTATTTTATTTTATTTTATTTTATTTTATTTTATTTTATTTTATTTTATTTTATTTTATTTTATTTTATTTTATTTTATTTTATTTTATTTTATTTTATTTTATATATTCTGGTCACTTATGATGCAAAAAGGTCTCTAAGTTAGGGTTGCCATATTTTAAAGAGCAAAAAAGAGGACACATTTGATGATAAAAAAATAAAATAAAAATGGGGGGAGGGGTGGTATTTAAGAGATACCAATGAAAGTAGAGTAAGAGCAAAAAGAAGATATAGTTAAAAGAAAAGTGTTGCCCCCCCCAAGAGAAAGAATTAAAAATAGAAATAATAAGTGGGAATTATTGTTTTTAATAATATTGAAAATAACAACAGCAGCAACAACAACGATAATAATAATAATAATAATAATAATAAGCCAATATATATATGTATATATGTGGAGAATAAAGAAAAAGGGGGGTAGAGGGAAGAGTGTGTGTTTGTATATAAAAATAATATATATCTGAATGAAATCGATCTGTAGGTTCCAATCGATGTCATAAATCGAAAGTTAAAGAAAATTTAAAATAGAGAATTATAAGGTCAAATAAATGTTAAAGATCAAAGGAAACTAATAATAAATAGACATAAAATTCAAACCCAAGGGTGGTCCAAACTGCAGAAGCAACAACAGCAGGCTTGCGGGGCTCAGCCATGTGAGAGAGAGTTTGGGGGTGGTGGCAATATTGGGGAGTGGGGTTGGGTTAGACTTCTCCCCTCTGCCCTCACATGGGAGGGCTCTGCCCCACGGTCCCGGGGGGGGGGGGCTGATCCCCCGCAAGCAGCTGGCATGAAGCGGGAAAAGGAAGGAAGGCCTCTCCGGCCCCCTCTAAATGTTGCTCGGAGGCTGCAGCTGTGTGGGGGCCTCCTTTCAGCATTGCCCTATTCCCCAACGCTTGCCCCCGGTCGTGAAGGCCGCTGAGATCCTGCTCACGAGTAGTGCCTGGGAGCGCTGCTTGCCTGCCGGTGTAGAAGCAGGCCCTTGCCGGGCAGCTGCTCTGTCTCAATGGCCTGGCAAGCTGGTCTTGCCATACCTGGAGGTGGGCTGAGGGCACCCCACAAGCCTGTCTCCTGCTGCCTACCTCTCAGTTGGGTGAAGGTGGCAGTGCCAGGCAGAATAATAATAATAATAATAATTTTTTATTTATATCCCGCCCTCTCCAGCCGAAGCTGGGCTCAGACCGGTTAACAACAATAAAAGTAACACAGCATTCTAAAATCAATTCATTTTAAAATCAATTCAAAATCAAATTATTGGCAACCATTGGGCTAGAGTTCTGTGAGGATTACCAAAGGAGGGGCAGGGCAGACTGTGCCTTGGCCAAAGGCCTGGTGGAACAGCTCTGTCTTGCAGGCCCTGCAGAAAGATGTCAAGTCCTGCAGGGCCCTAGTCTCTTCTGACAGAGCGTTCCACCAGATCGGGGCCACAGCCGAAAAAGCCCTGGCTCTGGTTGAGGCCAGCCTAACTTCCCTGTGGCCAGGGACCTCCAATACATTTTAGTTTGAAGACCATAAGGTCCTCTCTGTGACATACCAGAGAGGCGGTCCCGTAGGAATGAGGGTCCTAGGCTGCATAGGGCTTTAAAGGTTAAAACCAGCACCTTAAACCTGATCCTATACTCCACTGGGAGCCAGTGCAGTTGGTAAAGCACCGAGTGAATGTGATCCCACAGCGAGGACCCCGTAAGGAGTCTCACTGCGGCATTCTGCACCCACTGGAGTTTCTGCACCCGCTGAAGCACGTAGGAGCTGCAGCGGTGGCACAGGTCGGCCTTGCGGTTCCAGCCCCGCATTGACAGCAGCTCCTTCGGCCCTGTCACAGCCGTTTTCATCTTCAAACTGGGCCCTGCTATAACCACGCAGGTTCAAGAAGGTGAGGAGAGCTCAGGGATGAGACTGGTGTGACAGAAAGAGCGTGCAGATCTTGCAGGGGGTGGCGGCGCAGGAGAAAGAACACACAGATTGAGAACGAAGGTGGTAAAAAGAGTGTGTGGATCGGGCATGGGTGGGTGGGATAAAGACTGCACGGATGACCTGCTTTCCTGTCCTGAATAGTTGAACTGTATGTTATTCAGAAATGCTGATTTAAAACCCAGACTTTTTTGGCAATTTCTAAGAATTTCTCTCCGCCCCTCGGATGGTAATTTGACCTCTGAAAAAGAGGACATATCTGAGAAAATCCGGACGTATGGCAACATGTGAGTGGCTGCTCTTAATAAGATACTTACTGCCTGTACTTTTCTGGTTTCATTTCCTGGTCTCACAATTGATGATTCTGACTGCATGCCCCTCCCCAGGCACCCCAATATGTGTACATCCTTGAAACTCAGGACACTTAATTGATCTGATGAGGTGTACTCTATAAAACCTTATGCCATAATAAATTAATGTGAGACTTTTTTGAGACTCATGTGAGACCTAGTTTGCTTGCCTTTTGTGGGCTAGCAGAGGAGAGACACAGAGCTTGCCTTTCCATACTAGAGGTGGAGAAGAAGGCTGCTTCTCTGTTTGATTGTCATCACAGGTGCAGTGAAGGATAATTTCTCTTCTGTCTGCCCACTGACCTGCCCTCATGGAATTCCATACACTCTGTCCGCATGCATTTAGTGTTCTCCTAGGCTACCCCTTATATACCATGGGTTGTATCCGGTACTCAGAATAGGACCCATTTAAATGGATGGACATGACTAACTTAGGTGCATTAACTTCAGTTGGTGTACTCTGAAGTTTGATGCAACCCAAAGCATCTGGTTGGCAACTCTTAGAACCCAGTGTTGGACTCGATGGACTGCATTGGTCCAGCAGACTCCTCTTCTGTTCTTAAGACTGCTTAAATGGTGCATTCATCTCCCAGAAGCCATTAACTGTAGTTTTCTGGCTTGGACGTAATAGGAAACTGTTCTTAGCTGAAGGCTTCCTAGTTTCTTATGCAAAGGGTAGGGGAGCAGAGCAACTCTGTTCAAGACCATTAGTTCCGTTCATATCTTATTAACCTGAAATATGATCATCCAAACATAGCCCATGCCTGCCAGGTTCAGAGGCTGGCATTGCCCATTCCCTCTTCTTGAGGCCTTAGCACAGGAGTAGCCAACATAGTGCATGCCAGATGTTGCTGGGCTGCAGTTTCCACCATCTCTTTATCATTGGCCTTGTTGGCTGGGGGCTGATGGAACTACAGTGGCACCTCTGGATACGAACTTAATTCATTCCAGAGGTCCATTCTTCTCCTGAAACTGTTCTCAACATGAGGCACCATTAGCGAAAGCGTGCCTGCTACTGCGTGCACTCCTCTGGCGCACGATTTCCGCTCGCATCCCGGGGCAAAGCTCACAACTGGGAGCAACTGCTTCCGGGTTAGTGCAGCTCATAACCTGATGCATGTGCAACCAGAAGCAATCATGTCCAGAGGTACCACTGTAGTTTCCAGCAACATTTGGGAGAGTACCACACTGGCTGCTCCTGCCTTACCACACTCTGCTCCAGTGCAAGCCACGACTAGCTGCTTGATCCATCAGTCCAGAGGCCCATCTAGTCCAGCATCCTGTTCTTAACAGTGGCCAACCACACACCCTGACAGGAATGACCACAAGCAGGACATGCATTCTCTTGTGCTGGCAGTGGAAATTCTGCCTGATCACCTGCGCTCTTCAAAATCAAAACACAGTGCAGGGTCATAACCTCCATTCATATGGTGCCGTAAGAAATGTTTGTCCCAGTATTCACTGCCTTGGAGTATTTTCTAATGGAGAGGTGTTTTAAGTAAAATGAGTCTGAAGTGTGTCCGTTCCTAGCCCAGTACATGTGTGTTCCATTAAGCAGATGTACTGAGTGCCTAAACCTCTGCCAATAGAACCATCAACAGGCACTTTTCATTATTGATGGCTGCTTTAGATGAGTGCCTCTTAACTGCCTCCTGTAATTTCACTTTGATCCTTCATGCATTTTTTTTTTTTAAAAAAATGAAAACAAAAAAAGAAGGGCACCATATGTGGCTGAAAGAAAAGTTGTGGGCTTTAGGTGTCTTTACTCATCGGCTGTGCTCAAGTTCTTTGCTTTGGATGGGGGGATTCCATCTCTCTTTGTGCAAGAGAAAGGTTTGGGAGCCAGGTTTACATATTTACAAGTATGTGCCTTTTAAAATGAGGATTAAACATATTTCCTTCCTTCCTTCCTTCCTTCCTTCCTTCCTTCCTTCCTTCCTTCCTTCCTTCCTTCCTTCCTTTTTAAAGTAATGTTTTCTTAAGCTAGTTGATTTTCACCAGAAAAATATAAAGGGTTCTTTTTGATTTCTCTTCCCAGCACACAAGTAGAGACCCCAAAGAAACACCCAAGGAAGATGGAAGAAGGGAACTTTCGGAATTTGGGAAGCCCATCTCTTTGCCCCCTGTTCCTGGCCTTCATTCATCTCTACCTCAGAACCAGAGCTATATGGCAGCATCAAAATCACAGACAGGTAAAGAATTAACAGTGCATACCCCCCTTTCTATTTTATTTTTGTGGGGAGGCAAAAGCTTAAGTTGGGAGTCTGCTGGCCTTTTCTGTAACCCAGGGTTTCCCAAATTGTGGTCTGCAGACTACCAATGGCCCATGAGCTTCACCAGGTGGTCCACAGGGTGTCCATAAAAATAAAATTAAAAATCATACCACATCTAGCACAGAGCATTATAATTGCTAAAACGGGGGGGGGGAGGGGGAATGTAAGTGGTCTGTCAAGACCCTCAGCAATTTTCAAGTGGGGTGGGGTGGAGTGGGGGTGAGGGAACCACTGTTGTGGCCACTTCCACTACCGCCATCTGCCCCCTTTGATTGGATTATCAGCCCTTGCAATTTAAGGAGAAAATTGCTGGAACATTGTAGAGGTGGAGCTGAAGTTCCATGCACCTAAAGCTTAAATGAGGGACAAATTTGGCTTAACACACCAATAAATAGAAGGTCAGGGGCTTGTCTGCTGTTGTTTTTTAAATGTAACAGTGTGTGTGTCTTGTGTATTTTCAAATGAACCATAGCATGCAAGAAGGGGAAGCTTAAACCCTTCCCTCCCCAGCCGAGATCCTGACAAATAAGAACTGCCATAAGAAAAGAAGCAGAGACCTGCTGGATGAAGCCCTTTAGTCCAGCATCCTCTTCAAACAGTGGCCAGCCATATACCTTTGGGAAGCTTGCAAGCAGAACCGAGCGCAGCAATGCTCTCTTCACACTTGCAGTTCTCAGCAGCTGGCATTGGAGGAGGGGTGAAAAACAAGGCACATCTAATCCTGTTAGCTAATGCTTGTTTCTTTTTACTCCTCCACCAACTCTTACATGTATGTTTCCCAAAGAGACAATCAGTTTTCCCTTTCCTCTATGCAAGGAGCAGAGGTGTCCCAGTAATTCTCAGAACCCTTAACAAACTACAGCTCCCAGGATTCTTAGGGGGAAGCCATTACTGTTTGAGTTGTATATTAGTGCTTTAAAAGTATGATGCAGATACAGGCTTGGATTCTAAAGGCCCATACGTACCTCACATTAATGTGGACTGTGAACCTTTTGTGTCTCCTTTAATTGCCCCTTGTACATGGGGCATTCTCCTCCAACTTCTTGGAAGGAATTCAGTGGCACTGTGGTCTATAAACCACCGAGCCTCTTGGGCTTCCTGATTGTAAGGTCGGCAGTTCGAATCCGTGTGACAGGGTGAACTAACATTGCTTTGTCCCAGCTTCTGCCAACCTAGCAGTTTGAAAGCATACCAGCAGGAGCAGATAAATAGGTACCACTGTGGTGAGAAGGTAAACGGCATTTCTGTGTGCTCTGGCTTCCGTCATGGCCTCCTGTTGCACCAGAAGCGGTTTAGTCATGCTGGCCACATGACCTGGAAAGCTGTCTGTGGACAAACGCCGGCTCCTTCGGTCTGAAAGCAGAGATAAGTGCCACACTCCGTAGTCAAATTCTACTAGACAACCACCCAAGGGTTCTTTACCTTTAAAAGTAAAGGTAAAGAGACCCCTGACCGTTAGGTCCAGCCGTGACTCTGGGGTTGTGGTGCTCATCTCACTTTATTGGCCGAGGGAGCCGGTGTACAGCTTCCAGGTCATGTGGCCGGCATGACTAAGCCACTCCTGGCGAATCAAAGCAGGGCATGGAAATGCCGTTTACCTTCCTGCCGGAGCGGTAACTATTTATCTACTTGGACTTTGTGCTTTCAAACTGCTAGGTTGGCAGGAGCAGGGACCGAGCAATGGGAGCTCACCCTGTTCTGGGGATTCGAACTGCCGACCTTCTGATCGGCAAGCCCTAGGCTCTGTGGTTTAACCCACAGCACCACCTGCGTCAAAATTCTACTAGACAACCACCCAAGGGTCCTTTACCTACCATTAACTCCAGCTTCTGCTGTCCCACTCTTTCTCCTCCCTAAATCCAGAGATTCCCTATGCCAGTGTTTCTCAGACTAGCCAGCAGGACCAGTGGTCAGGAGTGATGAGAGTTGTCGTCCAACAACAGCTGGTGATCCAAGTTTGAGAAACACCACCTATGCTTTGAAAATCTCGAGAGGAGAGCTGCATCAGGGAATCTCTGGATTTGGGGAGGCAGCAAAGTCTTTGCATCACAGCCTAATTGCTATTCCGCATTGGGGAAACTTTTTGGTGGTGTGGGAGGAGTGAAACTGCCGTTGGACACAGCCTGCATCTTTATCATTAAGAGGCTTGACCTTACCCCTAAATGTGCACTCCTCCATTGTCTCCCAAGACAGATGGATGCCAACTGTATGATGCAGATTTGTATAAGTTGGATGCTGCCTTTTAATAGCCTTTAATCAGTTGCTTTGCTTGCCCTCTTAAGAGTGCATTTAAAGCACTGCAAGATCACTTTAAGCAGCCATTACTTCCCCCACAGAATTCTGGGAACTGTAGTTTCTTAAAGGAGCTGAGAGTTGTTGTATCTCACAGAGCTACAATTCCTGGAGTGGTTGAACTGTATTCTCCTCTTCCCAAGGGATTCTGAGAATTGTAGAGGGGGAATGGCAAGATCAGTATAATGCAAAGAAACAACGCAGGGCTCCTGACCTCCCCACTTGCCCCCCAATCTCCTGGTAAGCAGCTGCAGTGCAACCAAACAGAGGCCAAGTGAGCAGTGCAGCTCCACCAAGCGCTCTGCTTCTGCTTATAACTAAAACAGGGGGAGTGAAAATGGGACTTGGTGTTTGGTTGTGTGTTCCTTTGTACTTAATTAACTGTTTACTGAATTAACTGTTGGATGCTGCATCTGATCCACCCTTATACCTTATACCTTCTTGTGTTTCTGCCCCCTACTTTCTGCCTCCTGATTATTTTCCCTTTTGTCCCTCCCGTCCAGCTGCTTCAGTATCTAGGAAGAAGAAGCGAAGAATGGGAACGTACAGCCTGGTTCCCAAGAAAAAGACCAAAGTTTTGAAACAGAGGACTATGATTGAGATGTTCAGGAGCCTTGCCCATTCCACTTCAGGTGGCAAGGTGAGGGCTGTGGAAGAGAGCGAGGTGCTTGGTGGATGAATGGAAGGTGGTGTCAGCCACTCTCGCAGCCGGAGATGGTGGTACAGATCAGCAAGGAACTTCTCTTTGTGCAGCGTAGCTGTATAATCCAGGGAATTGTTTCTTTTAGAAGAAATGTGACTTATCACAACAGGTGACAGACTGTTTTTGGGTCTCTTTCTTTCTTAAGAATCCAGTGGTTCTGCTGGATTCTACCAAAGGCCCATCTAGGCCAGCATCCCTCCATCTCACAGTGATGCCCCAATGGGAAGCCTGCATGCGGTTTGTGAGGGTTAGCAGCCCCTGCAGAAATTTGTGGAGAAAAGGAAGACGGGAGCACCCATGGTCAACCCATAAAATGATTATATATATTCAGTAAGCCTAGTTGTAGACCTCTTCATTTTTAATTACTTTGCTATTGCATTTTAAGCTTATCCTTTCTCCAGTTTGCTCAGGGCAGTGTGCATAGGCCCTGTCCCAACTTTATTTGTTCAGTACAGACAGGGTGAGACGTAGGTGGCGCTGTGGGTTAGACCACAGAGCCTAGGACTTGCCGATCAGAAGGTTGGCAGTTCAAATCCCCATGATGGGGTGAGCTCCCGTTGCTCGGTCCCTGCTCCTGCCAACCTAGCAGTTCAAAAGCACGCCAAAGTGCAAGTAGATAAATAGGTACCGCTCCGGTGGGAAGGTAAACGGCGTTTCCGTGCACTGCTCTGGTTTGCCAGAAGCGGCTTAGTCATGCTGGCCACATGACCTGGAAGCTGTACGCTGGCTCCCTCGGCCAATGAAGAGAGATGAGCGCCGCAACCCCAGAGTCGGTCACGACTGGACCTAATGGTCAGGGGTCCCTTTACCTTTACCTACAGACAGGGTAGGGGGACATCTATGGCCCTCTGCTTGTCATTAGGCTCCAACTCCCCACCAGCATCAGTTAGTATGGGCAATGGTGAGGTGTGATGGGGGCCCACTGACATTCCCTGCCCCTGGTTTACAGGACTGCAGCCTGAAATAAGCAAACAAGGAGTGGGAAACCTTTAGTCCTCCAGATGTGGTTGGACTCCAGTTCTTATCATGCCTTGCTGGCTGGGGCTGATGGGAATTGGAGCCATACAACATCTGGAGGACTCCAGGCTCCTTGTCCCTGGTTTAATGCAAAGTGGAACCTGTATATATTTGACCCTGGTGGCCAAATTGAGCCCTCCTGACTTTTCTGCCTGGGATTCAGGGCTCTTTGCAAGACACAGTCCTCACCAGCTCTGCTCCATGCCTTCCTCAAATACTTTTGGAATGTGTGATTGAACTGTGGTAAGGCCTCTTGCTTCCTGCCTGGAGAGGTTTGTGCAGGGGTGTGGCGTTCTGTGTTGCTGCTTGAAGACACTGCGTCTTCACCGTGGCCCTCAGAAGGTTCCCACCAGTGAATGTGGCCCTCAGCCTAAAAATGTGTTGACTTCCCTTTCGATTTAACTGTTTGTCCACATGGGTGCATTCAGGTTGAAAAGGGCGATTCTAGCCCTCACGTGAACGGGGAGAGCTTAGATGCGGATTCTGAAGACGAGGACTCAGATGAACTGGAAGAAGACAATGAACGTGGAACTGAGCAGCAGGCTGCCTTCCCTGCAGAGGAGAACAGAATGGCTAAGGAGGGAGTTGTTGATGGCAGCCGTGCCAGAAAGGTGATTTGAATACTTGTTTGAGATGCTTGAGGAAAACATTTAACTTTGATCAATATAGGTGGGAGTAAAGGAAGCGAAAAGGTGAAGCAAGAGTTTGTGGTGTAGCGCAAAGGTGCTTTCCACCCCCCCCCAAGGGCTCGGGTACCTGAGTGTTCTCCAGATGTTGTTATATCCAGATGTTTCAAGGAGGAAATGGGAGCTGCAGTATTATGTCAGTTAATTGGGTTGATGGGTCAGTTAAAATATTTTGTTCATTTTTTAAAAAAATCCTGGGTAAATTGGAGCACAGGCTCATTATTTTAAATACTTGTTTTAATTGCCACATTAAAAAAAAGTTTTATTAAAGAGTTATATTAGCTTTGCAAGCTGCATTTCTCACCCCCTTCCATGCCATCACTTACTCCTCTGCATAGTCACCAGTCTGATTAGCTTAAAGTCCTAGAGATTCACAGGGGCATAAATCACAAAAACCATTCTAATAGCCCTTAAACGTTTCCAAAACAAATGCACGTTTGTAAATCATCATTGTGGATGGCAGCTGTCCATCTTCACATTGCTTCATTTTCAAAATGTATTCTGTCCCTCAAAGAGAAAGCAAAAGTTTTCCCTGTGTGGCTTTAAAGAAATTTAAATAAAATGCCAGAAATCTGCTTCTGCCTTAAAAAAGAAGCCCTTATAAAGGAGGCAGTGGTTCTTCTCTGAGAGTTCCCTCTGCAATATGTGGGGGCATTATCTTAAAAAAAAATTAAATAGAAGCTTGATTCCACTCCCTACCTTTCAGAATTTCCAATCTGCATGCAAACATATGCAGATTTAATCAGCAAAAACCTGTACAATAAATTGACAAAAGGCTTCTTTTAATCAGGAGGTAAAAAGTTTATGGCAGATTTGATCTCTCTCTTTTTCTCTCCTTCTCCCCTAGCCACCTTCAGTTGGATCTTTTTAAAATTTGAAGCATAAAGCAGTAAAGAGAGATGTATTGGTGATTATTGGTTCAGTTGGACCCAAATTTATTTACTCATTTATTGTCCCACCTTTCAACTCCAAGGAGCTGAACATGGTGTACACTGTTCTCACCCTCCTTGTTTTTTATCCTCACAACATCCCTTTGAGGTAGGTTAGGCTGAGTGAGCTTCACACCTGAGTGGGGATTTCAATTCTGGCCAACCCAGATCAAATTCCAGCACTCAGCATCCCTAAGGAACATTCATTCTTAACCACTGCAACACCCAAAACGATCATTCATTCCATGCACCACAACATCTACAATGGAGGTGAAAGGGGCAGAAGGCTCAGTGGCTCAGTACTGATTCCTTCCCCTGGCTTTGTGAGGGCGTGGGGTAGGAAAATGACACCCATATACTCACCTACAATACCAAAACAAAACCAAAACAGAGCTCATAAACATTACAAGTTTGTTACTGTAGTTAACCTACTTTTAACCTAATACAGTGTATATAAAAAGGAGTTCCAAATATCGTTAAATTTGCCCATGCGTGACAGATGTGCCCAGTAAGGAGCACAACTTGCTACCCGGTCCGTGGCATTCTGCAGCAGTTCTGGCCTCTGGGCTATTCTGGCTCCCCTATCTAATCTCTGAAGACCAACGTACAATGCAAAAACACAGCTGCCCGCAAAATGCAACAAGGCTTATTTTGCTGATGGGAACTAAGCATCAAGACCACATCAATACTGACCTGTTGCCTAGATATAAGCTTCTGCCAGCGGGAGTGAGCCTTGAGGCTCGGAGCTTCTGTGTAGGAGTTGCTCTGGCTTCTTCCCTGGAATGGAATCTCTGCCTTGGGAGTATCTGTGGTTTGGTTTCTGGTGTAAACTACAGATAAAGGGAGGAAAACAGTTCCTCAATTAGAACTGCAGTGTAGATGATTCATGGCTTGCCACATGAGCCTGAAGGTGCATTCCAAGCTATGTGCTGCTGCTGCTATTATTATTTAATAATTTTATTACTTATGCCCCACTCATCAGGCTGGGTTGCCCCAGCCACTCTGGGCGACATACTGCACATACATAATGAAACATCAAACGTTTAAAACTTCGCGATACAGGACTGCCTTCTAAAAATTCTTTATAGTGTAGTTAATTTATCTCCTTGATATCTGATGGGAGGGCATGCCACAGGGAGGGTGAACAAAACGAATAAAACAAAAACCTAGGAACCAGAACCAGGGACCATGAAACCTGCTTTGTGTGTACAAATTTAAGGAGAACACCCAATTTAGGGTTGTAGCCAACTAAGGTCTACAAAGACCCAGTGGAACTTAGTGGATCTATGTTAGTCATATGCATGAATTTCAATAAGTCTTCTCTGAGCAGGAGTAAAGCACAAACACAAGTAACTTCTATTGCATTAGTCCTTCAATCAAAGCAGAACAAAGGAAGGTTACAAAATCTAAACCAGGTAACAGAATTTACATAAACTTAAAAACAACAACTCTATCCACTATTTAAAAGTAGAGATTAATAAAAGTAATAATTAAGACTAATAAAATGACAACATATTCCTATTGAAACATACTAAAACACATTTTAAGAAATAAAACACTTAGTATAAAACATAAATCTATATTAAGGTGTGTTTTTCATAATACTGGATGCAGCTGTTGGTTTGCTGCACCCAGCAAGTTGCTTCTGAGTCAAAAGTGGACAATTCCGTGCTAGGTAAAAACAAATAATCTGACCTAGCATAAGCTAGCAGCCTTGGTTCTTTCATTGGGCAACAGCTTTTCTCATCTGATTTACTTTCTTGCTCACTTTCCTTTGGCCACCACAGATTGTCCATGGTGAGTCCGAGGATGAGCAAGACTCTGTTGACTCCGGGGAAGATGAGGAAGACGGTGACGAGTCTGACTTGGTGAGCTCTTCCTCCTGTATGCCTTCCCACCTCAGTTTATGTGTGCAGCAAGAATCATGGTGAGGAACACCCATGCAAGGCTCAGCATTCTTCCTGATAATAACATTTAAAAACAAAAGAAACATATTTTTTTTGACCCAGTTGCTCTGCCTGCTTTTATGGGTTTCAAACAATGTTTTCACCTTCTAAACAGTTCTGTGTTACAATAAAAGTTTATTGATTTCTTGTTAGGCCTCAGCAGGGGTCTGCCCTTGCTTGCCAGATGCCAAGACAAGGGCGTGGTCCAGACAGGCATGGTCGAGGCTGGAGCAAGCAGGACAGAAGCAGGGGCTTGGTCCAAACAGGGACTATCCAGGGCCATCTTTCACGGGAGGCAAGGCAAGGCACGAGGAGTCTGCTGCTACTGTTGTTGTTGCTGCTGCTGCTGCTGCTGTTGCTGCTGCTGCTGCTGCTGCTGCTGCTCATAGTGACCCAAATTGCTCAGGCTGACGAGGGAAACCCTGTGGCAACAGCTTTTATCAGTCTCGGAGAGCCAGGATTGGCCTGTAGATGATCAGCTGATGCTTACTGCAGCCTAGGGGGTAGTTCCCTTGTACTGTGTCACTTAGACAGGTTTGTAGGAGAGCACTAGATGGCATAGCACCAGGGATGCAGGATGTAAGGCTCTGGTTCCTGACGGCTGGGTGCTTCAATTCAAGACACAAATGCGCAGCATCGCAGGCACTGCACTATACTGCACCACACCATATGCACACTTTCCCCATGTGCTTTTCTTTCTCGTGTTTCAAATTCTGCTTTGGCCTTTGATTCAGCTGTTTTCCCTTTCTTCGCCTTCTTTGCTGATTTCAAGCGATGGGAGTTGCAGTGGAATCCCGAAGCATAAAGACTTTTGTTGGGTTTGAATACAGGGGGTCCCAGGTTTGAACGCTTGCTCTGACACAGAGCCTGTTTGGCTTGCATTGGGCAAGTTGCTGTACCTTGATAAAATCAGTGGTAAGGCATATTGCTAGATTGATTTGCAAAGATGAATATTGTCCTGCTTGCCTCAAGCCATAGTTTGCAGCTATATCTGAACCAGTCAACTGTGGTTTGGGTATGGATGTACGTCTCCAACAAAATACTGAGAATGCACTTCTTGATAAGATTTCCACAGTGCAATCTTATGCATGCTCCCTCAGAAATAAATTCCATTGTATTCATTGGGGCTTACTCTTAGGAAAGTGTGCATAAGCTTGCAGCCTTGTTTTTCCAGTTAAGTTCTTCGCTTGATATAGTGTTAATACAGGCACAGAATATATTTGCTACTCAATGTTTGTAACAGATCTGAGATCTGTCAACTGATTAAAGAATTCTTAGTGAATCAGTAAGCTGCTTTTAACAATTATTAATTTGTGACCTTCTAAAAATTTGCACAAATTAATATATTACCGAAACTGTTCATGGAAAGTGATAAATACTTTAGTTTTGCAGGAGAATATTAAAAATGAAACAGCATTTGTTTCCATGAGTTGCACACAAGTTGAACTGTTAAAATGTTCTCTTGTTGAACTGGTATTATGTTACCAGAATCTAATCCACTAGATACATATAGGCTTAACATTTCCAGTTCCGTGTTTTGAAGGATCAGACCTGAGACCAATCTTGGCTTCCACAACGGTTTAAACAAGCCCTCCAAACCAAGATGGCAAACCACAGTTTGTTCCTGGTTTAGAGGACTCACGGAAAGCAGACTTTACGGGTTCTGGTGTAACTGTAAACTATGGTTTGATTAAATCCTTAAATTATTAATTAAGCTGAGTAAGTGATGGGAAGAGACAGCGCACAAACACAGGGCTTGTTTCTTGTCCTCCTAACCACAGCTGAATGATCTCCAGGAATTTTGTTTGATCTTTCCCCCCCCCCTTTGTGTTGAATGTGCTGATTAATTGAGTGGTGGGGTGGATTTTCGTCTGGTATTAATAGTCTTGTTGATTTTAATCAGTGAACTCTTTCAGCCTTCCTGGCTTAGTGAAATGCACAAGTATGAGGGCTTCCAGAAGGCAGTTTTCAGCCACTTTGCTCTGTACCTTTTTATTGTTGCACTTTGCTGAGTTAATCCAAGGTTTGGCTTAACATGTCTCCTGAACCTGGGACTTGTGGTTAAGCGCTCACCTCTCAAGAAAAAAACTTGGCTGCAGCTCATGACTAGCAAGCCAGAGACCTTAGCCAAACCATGGCTTGGCTCAACATGACATGGGAACCTGAAAGGAGCAGAGAGGAGCAGAACCAGAAGGGTGTGGTTGAAAAGGAGATGTGCCCTGGGGAGAGTCTCAGGGGCCAGAGGAAGAGGCTCGGAGGGCCACATGCAGACCCCAGGCCTAAGATTTGCCACCCTTCATTTAAGCATCAAAAGAGGTTGTAATCAGCCCATCCCGAAATATTTCGGCTTCAGTCCTGCACAGACCTGGGCTTTCTTTTAAAAAAATCTATTCAGTGGGACTTAAGTGCATATAATTGTGCAACAGGATAACACCTTTTCCCCAGGAGTTAGCTGACAGACAGTTAAGGATTTTCTTTTTCACTCCTTTGGTTTAGCCTTGTTTTAAACGGTTATAAATGCAGATAGGATACCTCCAGATACCATATTGTCTTACATTCAATGTAACCAAAAGACTTTATAATCTGAACAAAAAAAGAGAGACATTGCACATTCTTTTGCAATTCATGAAAATATTTAATAAAAATTATTATAAAAAAATAATAAATGTAGATATGAGATAAGCGTCCTATCTGCAAATTTTTGTCCCAATGGAGCAGAGTCCTTTGCCCATGTTAAAACACCTCAAGCTTGAATTTCTCTGGAAGGGCGAGTTTTGCCTATTAGTAAGTTGGGTCAGACTGTCCAGTATTGAATCCCTGCTGTACTGATGATCAGGCTGCAGCTGTAGCCTTCCTTTTCAGTACAAAGCCCAGTCTGTGCTCATAAATATGGGCAGGGATAAGCAGAGCATAGATTAGGATCTGCTGGAAAATAGCTGGGTGATCTGCAGTACAATAACAACAAGAGGTTCTCCTCTTACATTTTAAGACATTGTTATTTCAGTGTTCTTTTTGCCTGGGTGGTAACCATCTGGCCTGTTCCCGACATCATGATCCTGGCTTCTTAAATTGTGGTTGGGAATTAATAGGTGCCTATGCACTCCTCTTTTGCTTACTGGCTTTAGTGCTGGGATCCTTGCTCAAACTTCATTTCCTCATTGCATTAAAACCAGGGATCTGTGGTTTAATGGTGGCTTGCCAGGATAAAAGATCCCTTTAGGTGAATCAACATTAAACCACAGTTTTGGGTATCAAAACTTAATCGAGAAGAGCAGTTAAAAGAGACATGGATCTAAATGCTGAAGGTGATAAGAGGTAAGTGAATGACCTTCATAAACCATGGTGCAACCCAGTATGGCCTGGTTGACACATCATGCTAAACCATAGCTTTGTGTGTATGCGCTATGCACAGGCACAAATGAGCCGCAGTGACTCCTGGGCTTATTCTCCTTTCCCCTCTCCTCCCACACAGATACAAGGGGAGCAGTTCAGAATCTTTCTTTTCTGCTTTTGGTTAACTGCAGTTTGCTGTACTGTTTTGTTTGACAAATTGTGGTTAACATTTACTGCGGCTAGTTTAAAACAAGCCACTTTCAAACCATGGTTTCTGAAGCAAGCTTTTGAAAATTAACCAATCTAAAAAAAATTAATGTTAATCACAGTTCTGGGATCCCATTGTCTCGGCAAGCTGGGGTTCACCAAAAGTATGTGCATCTGAATTTTCTGGAGGCCCCCTGTGACTTATTCCTGCTCATGCACATTTTGCTAAATAATGAACACATGAAGAAAGATTGTCTGGATTTGTTGCTCTTTGGTTTTGCTCCTTTCTTGTGCTTTGCTCATCAGCATTTTATTTGTAATGATTATATCTATCCTCTCTCTGTGATTACTTTTGATTGTTAGGTGCTTTATAAAGTTCTTTTTCAGCAGAAGAGTGGGGCAAAAATATTTTTAAAGAAACAAATATGCGGCTAGAAACCGGAAGTAAAATGCTTTTATACTATGCGCCTGCACTGAATAGTAAAGATTACATGATATAATAAAGTGCAAAATAAGTGAGGTTGGGCAAAGTTGCCTACATCACATCATATGCATCAGGCCAGTGGCCCACCTAGTCCAGCATCCTGTTCTCAAAGTGACCAGCCAGATGCCTCTGGTAAGCCCGCGCGAGCCTTACTTCTCCGGATCCATCACCATCCACTTCTCAGCCCAGGTAGATATTCTCCCAAACCACCTTGCAGTTAAAAATCTGAACAGTCATAAAGTTCCAAGAGAGTCTTCAGGTCCCTGACATGTGGAGCTGATCTTCCCATCAAGAAGTCCCTGATAAGATTCCGAAGGACCTCAAGATGCCACAGAAAGCAGTTTTAGAACTTAAGAAAAGCCCTGCTAAATCAGGCCAAAGGCCCACCTAGTCCACCATCTTGTTCCCACAGTGGCCAACCAGGCTTCCCCCTCCTGTGGTTTCCGGCAGCTAGTGAGAAGAGGCCTACTCCCTCCGACAGTGTAGGTAGAACATAGATGTCATGGCTAGTAGCCATCGGTAGCATTAGGTTTCTCTTGGCAGAGAAGTTGGATTGGCTGGAGACACACAGGTTTAGCTAAAAAGGAAGCAGAATACAGAAATGAGTCTGAGACTTAATTTCTTTCCAAGCTTGCGGATCTCTTTGTACTACCTTGGCATGTGGTGGCAGTCCTGTGGTATTTTCATGGAAGGAGCTATATTATGCAACACAAGACGTGCCAGTCTTTGTGGCTGACCTAAAAATGGTGAAGGGAGAGGCAAGTTCAATAATAATAATAATAAATAATAATAATTCAATATGAATATTGAATACAGTCAGGCCAAGGACCAGCTGAATGAAACTCCAAGACCACTGTGTGGTCCATGGGCCACAGCTTAGGAACCCCTGATCTAGGCAAGAGTCAAGAAGCTCAAGCTTTCATATTGCCCCTGGTGGGTAGGGGGGAAGAGTAGAGGATTGTATTTCTGAAATATGTTGGGCTTTTTAAAAACTCAGGTGCTTTTGAGAGCATTGCCTCTCTCCTGTTGCCTACTAATCACAAAGAAAGGTGAAGAGCATAGCTTAGGATCAGTCAGGCCACTGCTTTCCTGAAGCAGATGCCTCCTGTGGTTTTTGCAGAGTTCGGAATCCAGCCTCAAGAAGAAGGTGATGAAGAAGAAAGGCAAGATGGAGAGTCCCTGGCTGAAACCCACCCGGAAGAGGAGGCGGAGGAGTAAAAAGAAACAAGCTGGTGCATTGGGTAACAGGATCAAATGTGTCTTATTTTCTATCCCTTCACCCCAGTAGTTTTTGTTCAGTGGAGACTGAGGCCCCAGTCATACTATACATTTAATGTAGCATCATACCACTTTAAACAGCCATGGCTTCTCCCCCAAAATATTCCTTTGAACTGCACTTTATTAAGGGCGCTGAGAGTTGTTAGGAGACTCCCTATTCCCACCGAAGAGCAGTTTTAACAATCCATTCCTCTTCCCAGGTAACTTGGAATTGTAGCTCTGTGATGGGAACAACTCTCCTCTGCCCCCTTAACAAACTACAACTCCCGGGATTCTTTGTGGGAAGCCATGACTGTTTAAAGTGATGTGATGTGGCTATAAGTGCATAGCACAGATGGGGCCTGAGCAAGTTCTTTCCTCCTTCTTTTCCCTTGCAGTGGGAGCACAAGCAGATTGTACCTTCACTTGGCTTAGGATAGGGGATCCAAAACTGAGACCACAGAGCCATCATGAGGAATACCACCTGACTCCTCAGTTTCCAGCCAAGATGCAAGAGTAGTAATGTTCAGAAGGAGTAGGGGTCCAATTTGGAATGATGAGATAAGACTCAGCCCTTCCCATTTGCCATTTCTCCCGTCCCCAACACTTCAAAGGTGGCTTTCTAAGCAAAGTAGTTGCTGCTCTGGGACTTGCGCTTAGGAGCCAGGGGGTCTACTTTTTCCTTCTTTTTAAGGAACATAGGAAGCTGCCTTGTATTGAGTCAGACCAATGGTCCATCAACCTTGGTATTGTTGCCTACATAGACTGGCAGTGGCTGTACAGCATTTGATACAGGGAGTGTTTCCCAGTCCTAACTAGACATGCCAGGGATTGAACCTGGAACCTTCTGTGTGCAAAGCAGAAGCTGTTCCATTGAGCTAAGACTTTTGCTTCCCTTTTGCTTTGACTTTCCTCTCCTGGGCTGAGAAGGGCAACTGGTGTGTCCGGCAAACCTTTGCTTATAGAGAAATAATTGGAAGAGGTAGTATCCTCCATGGGTGAGGGCAATACTCTTCTCCCAAGAGGCTCAAGATCTTACAGGGCTTAGGGGAAAAAGTTCTGCAGGCCCTCCTCTTATCCTTGCACCAATGCTTGGTAAAAACCGCTTTGGTCGTTCAGTATCTGATCGGTGACCCTCAAGTAGCTCAGAGCATTTATTCCCTCCTCATACTGGCTCTTGGATAGTGACACGATTTTAGGAGAAAGAAGAGGCTTTAAAAAAAACCTGCAGGGTTGGCTCTAGATCTCCTGACTGACTAGGCTGGCATTGTGCTTTGTTGGAGGGCAAAATATTTTGGGGTGAGGAGGGGAGTGTGTGTGTGTGTGTGTGCACTTGTCTCTTGGAAGGAGCAAATAGGAAAAAGAGGCATGAAGTAAATCCCTGCTAGAGGTTCTCACATTCGTTTTCATTAGCAAACCCTGCTTTGCTCATTGAGAAGCTGTACAATTGGCTCTGAACACTCCTTTTTTTTTTTTTTTGCCTTGAGCCAGATGTCTCCTGTCCCCTTCATCTTGTTTTCTACACCATTGGGTCTCTTTTTAAGCATTGCTGAGATCTAAAGTCCTTTTGCATCAGGGTGTGTAGGGTGAGTCAAGGCAAGCCCAGGTCCTTCTCCCTTCCTCTTTCTCATCCACGTTTGTGCTGCTAATGCAGTGCAGCAGCAGACAGATGTGTCTGAAAGGGAGGACCTCTCCTCCTGGTAGCTGGCACCTTTTTTTCCCCCTCTCCCAAAAAACAGTGCAAGGGTGGGGTGAAATCTGCCTTATTCAGGCAGAGAGAGTAGGAAGAAGGGCTGAAAAGATCAATTGGCCCAGTTGTTGCATTTTAATTATTCTATTAGCATCTGTATTTGCTAGCGATCCATCAGCCTGTAGCCTGCATACAGTCTGCTAGAGATGAATGTGGCCTTTTAAGAGAGAGAGGGAGAGAGACACACACATACATGCATAGTTCTTTTCTTTGCTATATAAATATGTGTATATTTTAAACCCAGGTTCGGAAGCCTACAAGTCTTCCTTAGACAGTGGAGAAGGAACTGGGGTGGAGAATAACATGGAGTACATGGAAGTCTCTCTGGATTCCTTGGATCTCCGAGTGAAGGGAATTCTATCTTCGCAATCAGAAGGTGAGTGTCAGCGTTCTAAATATGGCCATGTACCATTTTGGTTCTTTGTTTCCTTGGATTTCATTTCTCTGTATTAAGATGATGCCCCCTGGTGGCTGCCAATATTGAGAATGAGAAGAGGCCAAAAAGGCATATCAGTGGATCAAATGGAGAGTGAGACTAGAGCAAGGGAGAGCAGCTAGTAGATCACCTTTGACCTAGCAGTGTGTGTGTATTTGTGTGGATACTGCAGGAAATAACGCTGATGGGGATATCCTGGGGAGCGTTAAAGCTTTAGCTTTGGGTGCAGTTGTGATCTAAGACAATTTGACTAATCCCTGTGGCTTTGTCCCCTTGTTCGTGTCTTCGTTTTTTGCTTTCTATTTTCCCCTTGCCAAGAAAAGAAAAAGAGCTGTTCTCCCCTTCCAGTTCCCTCCAGTGCTGCTCCCTGTTCTCAGGCAAGAGGCATGTGACAAAATTCCAGAAGGGCTCCTTCAGAGAAGTAGAAGGTGGCACACAGCTGACGCATGCCAGAGTACTGCTTTGTAGAGCAGATGGGAGATTCCTGGCAGTCTGGCTGGGGCGTCACTGAGCCACTGCTCAAGGCAGCCTGGCAATCCAGCCTTTTCATCTGGGCAGGAGCTGTGCCATTCCCGCTTAGTATTGGCTGGGTGCCACCTTTTGCATTTAAGAAGGTCCGTGGCTCCGTGATGTAGCACCTGCTTCTGGACCAGTGGGCTGAGTCTGCAGGAAGCAGTTTCCTATGTTCCAGAGGGCAGGACCTGGGTCAACAGGCTCAGATTACAAGTTCACAGCTCCAGTAGATAGGAATGCACTTGCTTGTGTCTCACAAAAAGGCCGCAGTGCCGCAGTAGAGCATCTGTTTTGCATGCCAAAAGTCCTGGATTCACTTCCCAGCAGGGCTAGGAAGCAGCCCATCTGAATTCCTGGTGAGCTGCTGTCAGTCAGTGTAGACAAAAAACAAGATGGACAAAAGGTCAATCTTGCAGGGTTTGTTTGGAGAAGTACAATGACAGTGAGTAGAATATCTGCAGACCATGCAAGAAGGTTCCCAGTTCAATCCCCAGTCCCTCCAGGGAGAGAACCCTGTCTGAAATCCTGGAGAGCTGCTGCCAGTCAGTGTAAACAAGAGGTGGACCCAGGAGTCTGACTTGTTTATAAGGCAGCTTCCTATGTTCATAAGAATGTATGGATGGGTGCAGAATTCCATTTGGACCTTCACCCTTATGTTTCCCATGTTCTTTTGTTGATGATGGTGCTTATTTGTAACCTGTTCACCCAGTTAGGCTGCAGTAGGCTGAGCAGACTCTTCACGATGCATGCTCCACAGTGCTTTTATGCTTAAGAAAAGCGATTCAGAAAAATCTGCCCTCTCCTCTCCTCCCTCCTCCTCCTTCCTGCAGTTGTTACCTCTGGAGAGGAGCTTGATGAGACAAATAACATTGATTTCAAGAGAGATGCTTGCACCAACACTGCGACCAGTACATTGATTTCAAGTGGCAGCTGTTGAAAACCTGAACCAGGAAATGATGGACCGGTTTAACAATTCATTTTTTTAATGGCCTCTGTATCATCCAATTGCAAACATAAAGAGTCCTCCAAAACAAATCTAGTTTTGAGCATTGTTCGGATTAGAAAAAAACAAAATAAAAGGGGAAAGAAAGGCTATACAGTGGTGCCTCGCAAGACGAAAAGAATCCGTTCCGCGATTCTTTTCTTCTAGCGGTTTTTTCGTCTTGCAAAGCAACCCCATTGGCGGCTAAGCGGATTAGCGCTATTAGCGATTTAGCGCTATTAGCGGCTTAGCGGCTAAGCTGTTAAAAGGCTATTAACAGCTTAGCGGCTTTGAAAAAGGGGGGGGGAGCGGGGGGGAAATGGCGAGACTCGCAAGACGTTTTCGTCTTGCGAAGCAAGCCCATAGGGAACTTCGTCTTGTGAAGTGCCTCCGCAACGGAAAACCCTTTCGTCTTGCGGGTTTTTCGTCTTGCGAAGCATTCGTCTTGCGGGGCACCACTGTATAAGAATGTCAGAAATAGTCTTGCTGGAGCGGGCCAAAGGGCCAGCATCCCGTTGTCTCACTGGCCAACCTGATGTCTCTGGGAAAGCCATAAGCAGGACCTGAGTTATCTCATGCTGGCACTGGAAACTCCGCATGGCTCTAGGCATTCTGCAGAGCATGAGACTGAGTCACCAGGCCTATTTTTATAGTGTAGGTGTGCTGCCTGCAGGGAAGGCTGTAGCTCAGTGAATCATAGCTCATCTGCTTTGCATGCAGGAAGGCCCAGGTCGAATCCCCAGCATCCTCAGCACTGGGAACATTGGTTGTCTGAAACCCTGGAGATCTGCTGTCAATCAGTATAGACTGAGCTATATATGCACCAATGGTTCTGTCTTGTTATAAGGCCACTGCATAATATAAGGCAACTTCAAAGCCAGCAAGCAGGACCTGGTTTTTGCTCCCTTAACAACTGGTATGCAGGGGCATACTGCCTATGATAATGAGTGTAGTATGCAGGTATTATGATTGTCAAGGCCCTTGACAAGCCTTATGCTTCATGTGTTTTTCTAAATTCCCCTTTAAGCCGTCGAAGCGGGTGGCCATCATTGTGTCTTGCAGGAAATTCAGTTCAATGGTGAATAGTGAAGGAGAATAGCTTTCCCCCCTGGGTTGCTTCAGGTATCCCGACTTTGATTGAAATAGGCTAGAGTTTGGAAGACTGTAGAGACTTAAGTGGAACCATAGAATTGTGGTATTGGAGGGGATCCCAAGGGCCATCTAGTCCAGCCCCCTGCAGTGCCAGAATATCAACTAATGCATACATGACAGATGGCCATCTAATCTCTGCTTAAAAGCCTCAGTCCAAGAAAGGAGAGTACACCACCGTCTGAAGGAATCCATTCCACTATTGAACAGTTCTTGCCATCAGAAAGTTCTTCCTGATCTTTAGTCACAATCACCTTTCTGTAGCATGATGCCATTTGTTTGGGTCCTACCCAGACTTGATTCCCCACCCCCCCTTAGGGAGCTTATACACCTAATCCAAAAGAAGTGAGTGTGAATCCACACTGAGGGAGGCAGATTATGTACACCCATACATCTGTGTAGGTCAGAGCTGCTGTGCTAGGCTCTCCACAGGTGGGCCACTGTTGCTTATCACAAGGGAGAGACAGCAAGAAGGCTGGTGTTGTGCAGGTTCACCAGCAAAAGCTCCAGATTGTCTCTGCCTGGTGCATTTGCACTGCCCTGTCCCCTCCTCTTCCTTCACTTAGTTTTACATATCATTTCCATCCTGTAGGTCTGGGAAGGGCTGCCAGCCTGCCTATGTGAAGATGCAGGCTGGAAGAATTGCAAAGTGCTTGGGGTGTCTTGTCTATATGGGGCCTTCAGAATGTCAGACATTCTTACACAGCCTTGACCAGGCTTCCTCAACCTCAGCCCTCCAGATGTTTTTGGCCTACAACTCCCATAATCCCTAGCTAGCAGGACCAGTGGTCAGGGATGATGGGAATTGTAGTCCCAAAACATCTGGAGGGCCGAGTTTGAGGAAGCCTGGCCTTGACCAAAAATAAATAAATATAAAAATGAAGTTGCCAGCTAGTGACTGTTTACAGCCCGTGTTACCATTGTGCAGAGGTTTCCCTCCCTTCTCAGTCTCCTTATGTGGATTGCAGGAGAGTTGGGTGGTTTACTTACTCTTTGTGTGTGTTGCTTTTTCCTGCAGGTCTTTCCAATGGCCCTGAAACAATGGAAACAGACAGCCTTCAGGAAGCGCCTCTCTGTAGCTGTCGAATGGAAACTCCCAAAAGCCGGGAGATCACCACACTAGCCAATAACCAGTGCATGGCAACTGAGAGTGTGGACAAGGAGGTGGTGTCACCCTTCTCTCTCTCTTTTTCTGTTGATCATTGTAGTTGGCACATGGCACCCTCCATTGGAGCGTCATCTCTGCTTGGCAAGGGACCTGGTTGGCATGTCCTACAAAGGCACATGCTAATCTCCTCCCCTTCCTCAAAATAACTAGTGCTTGCTACACACAGACTTGAAAACAGTCCATACATGGGGCTTCTTTCTTGCTCAGGTTCTGAAGTGTGCAGCTCGTCCGCAAGGACCAGGGTGGGTGGGATCCCAGGCAGAGAGGGCATTGAAGTCTGGCTCCAGTGAGTGGGGTTTGGCATAGGATGTGGAAGAGAGGTAACTATTTATTGGAGATGGAAGCAGTCCATAATATCCAGAGATAAGCCCTGCCAGAGCTGGCCAAAGTGCCTTCTAGTCCAGCATCCTGTTCTGGCCAGATGCCCCAGATGGAAAGCCTTGCAAACAGGACCTGAGTGCAACAGCACTCTCCCTACCTGCAGTCCCCAATAAACTATTCAGAGGCCCCTCCAGCAGTGCAGGTATTACACAGGGACAGAGAAATCTGCCTTATATGATCAGATCATTGATCCATTTAGCTGAGTATTGTCTACACCAGGCATAGGCAACTCGGCCCTCCAGATATTCTGGGACTACAACTCTCATCATCCCTGACCACTGGTCCTGTTAGCTAGGGATGATGGGAGTTGTAGTCCCAAAACATATGGAGGGCCGAGTTTGCCTATGCCTGGTCTACACTGACTACCAGCGGCTTTGCGGGATTCAGGCATGGAATCATTCCCAGGCCTACGTGGAGATGTTAGATTGAACCCGGGACCTTTTGCATACAAAGCGTTGGTCTTCCACTGACCTCCCCCGAGTCATTGACCTTACTAGCGTGTTGAGAACAGAAACTTTCCTGCACAGAGGTAGCTAATGCTTTAGCTCACTCTTAAGAGCACGAGACACACCTCTTTGCTGGAATTTGCTGTTTTGTTTTGCCTAGTAGTAGCAGTAATAATAATAATAATAATAATAATAATAATAATAATAATAATACCTCCCATGTTTTGTGCATGGGTGCATAACCAAAGCACAACAAATTAAGTTGGGGTGGAATGTGGATGCCTTGGTTTCTTCTGCATTGTGCAGCCCATGAAGTACGTCAATACCTTACACTTTTCACAAAGTTCCAGGTGAAATAATTGTGGTTTGCACAGGGATTGTCTCCCCAACCCCCAGATCTTGCATATGTCCTATGCTTGTGTTTCCCACCTCCCCTCCCCACTCTTTCCCTTTCTAGTGCTGTCTCTGATGAGCTCCCTCCATTTAGTCCGCTGCCACTGGCTGTTCTGTGGCCCAGTAAAGTTCTCTGATGCTGCTGCAGACTGCATGCCAACAGCTGCCACCCCGTAGTTTCTCAATTAGCCACCGCTGGGGGAGCCAAGATCTAATGAGTGCCTGTGGTCAAGGAGATAACTGGCAGATTCTTCTCCTGCTACTGTGGCTTGGATGGCATCTACTCAGGACTGATAAACAGGGCCAAAGAGTTAGGCTGGGTGCTTTCTCAGATCTGTGTTTGGGAAGAAGGGTGGCTGTGTTCTACCTCTACTGCTGGAGAGAGGGTGCCTCTGAATGCCAGTTGCATATGTAGAGAGTGTTGTTGTGCTCAGGCCCTTTTGGGGGGCTTCCTATAGGCATCCAGTTTTCCATTGTAAAAGCAGGACACTGGGCTACATGGCTCTTTCTCTTCTTAACAGCCTTAAGGAGTTCCAGTTCTAATCCCTGATGGATGAAGTCCAGATTCTAATGGCTTTTGTATACTTAGGAGGAGTGAAGAATAAAGGATTATTACGTTCTTAGGAATGCAAGTTACATCTTTTCCTTCCCCCACATATTTTATTAGCAATAACTTCCCACTTTAAAATAGGGTGTTTCCAGGGGGCACAATATGTTCAAACAAGAGTGGACAGGAAAACACAGAGGGTTTTTGGAAGCCCACGTGCAGGTGCCCTTCTTGTACAATTTCAGGCATATTAATGTTCAGGAAGGAAGTGCTAGGGCTGGTTCATGTGTGCACAGTCATCACTTGATGACTGCAACAGGCACAAGAGAAAACTGCTCTTAAGGGAAGGGCTGTGATTCAGTGGTGGAGCATCTGCTTTGCCTACAGGGTCTGATCCCAGGTAGGGGATCCCAGGTATGAGACCCCTGCCTAGAACCCTGAAGAGCTGCTGTAGGCAGTAGATGAGTGAATGCTCTGGCTCTGTATGAGGAAACATCCTATGTCCCAGAGGGACCAGGCATCTCCAGGTAGGACTATGAGAGATTCCTGTCTGAAACCCTGGAGAGCAGTTACTGGCCAGCATAGACTTGAGTCTACATAAGCTTCCTGTGTTCCTGACATCAAGTGATGACTTGCACGAGCGATTAGGCTATAACAGACTGTTTTGAATTTGAGCTCACATGTTCAGGTGCCAGACATCAAATGTAGAGAAATGAAGTGATGTGCAGTGTACAGTCCTGATCGCCTCAACTCAAAAGAAGATATTGTAGAGTTGGGAAATGTTCAGGAAAGGGCAACCAAAGTGATCAAGGGAATGGAGTGAAAAGGGACTTTTTAATTTTGATTAAGGGCAAGTAAGAGGTGACATGATGGAAGGCAAGTAAAGATTAAAGATTGATTAAAGGCGAGTAAGAGGTGACATGATGGAAGCCATCCCACCCCACCCGAAATCCACCCTCATCAATTAGGAAAAAGGCAGCTACATCAGTCACCACTGCACTCACTCAGAGCGAAGCTCTTTGCTCCTTTCCCTTGTTTAGAATGGGAGGGAGGATGTGTGCCCAGACTTGGCCCCCAGTGAAATGTGGGCATGTTTAAAAGGATGTTCAGTTCAGGAAAGGCAGGGCCAATGCAAACAGGAACTGAATAGAAAGAGCAAAAGGGGGAGATAAATGGTGAGGCCTTTTGCAGGTGCCATAAGGAGGTACTGGCAGACACACTTGTGCCTGCAGGTGCTGCTTTGGCGATTCTTGGTGCAACGCACCTCTTCTTTAAACAGGACTGAGCAAGAAGTGGAAGACGTTGCTCCCACGTGGCTTGCCTTTGGTGATTCTGGAACTGTGCTTAGTCCTTGTCCTACAGCCATGTGCCAAAGAGAGTAAAGTGGAACATTTCTCGTGCTAATACTTCATATCATATCATTAAGCTGCTTGGTGTGCATGTCTTTGAAATGGGGGCTTTCAGTTCAGTCAGTTCAGTGTGTGAACTCTCAATGCACAGCACAGCATAGCAGAGAAGAAGAGTTTGTCCCCCCCTCTCTCTGGTGCACTCTCCAAGAATGACGTCTTTTCCTCCTCCAGCTAAGCCGTTGCACAAGCCAGGTGCTGAAATATGAGCTGATGCGCCCTTCTAACAAAGTCCAGTTCTTGGTACTTTGTGAGGACCACAGAGGGAGGATGGTGAAGCATCAGTGCTGTCCAGGTTGTGGCTTCTTTTGCACTGCGGTAAGTTTCTCTTTTGGGCCGGAGGGTGCGTGGGCCAGGGGTGTTTGTGCTGGGCTGGCAGGAGAAAGAATGATAGCGGCCTTTGTAGGAAAGGGCACTTGCTACTTTGCTCCCCACTTTTGCTGCATTCTTTAAAGAGGACAAAAAGAATTATTGAAATGCAGGCAAGGTAAAAAGCTATGTGGCAGTTGTGGGGAGCCTGTGACCCTCCAGGTTCTGCTGGATTACCACTTCCACCAGCCCCAGCCAGCATGGCCAGTGGTCAGGCATGATGGGAGCTGAAGTCCAATGGTGTGTGGAAGGTCACAGGCTCCCCATCCCTTCTCTGCGGTATGGGTTTGCAAACTCTATTGTAGGAACGTAGGACTCAGTCAAACCAAGAGTCAGTCTAGCTCAGTATTGCCTACAGCAGGGATAGCCATTACGGTGCATCACAGATACTGTTGGACTACAACTCCGATTGTCACTGAGCATTGCCTGTGCTGACTGGGACTGATGGGAGTTGTAGTTTAGCAACATCTGGAGGTTACTAGATGCTGCTTCTGATCTGGCAGTCACTTTCCAGGATGTCATATTGTGTATGAGCAAGTTTTCTTAAAACACAGGTTCAAAACCTCCCCTAGTTGTAGGAGATTGTTGCACTCTGAGGTTGCCGCATTCTTTAATGTGGTGGTGGGGTTGGGGTGGCAGGAGGGGCACACACTAATGCGGGTTTGGAGAACCTGTTGCTGGACTGCAGCTCTCACCATCCCTGACCATTGACCATGCTGGAAGTCTAGACCTTACCTATCCTTGATCTTTGAGTGATGGAGGGCTGTCCCTCAGCTCACTGTAGAACTACAAGCAGAGCTCACTGTAGAACTACAAGCCACCTGTTTGGGGATGGTCTGAATCTTTGGATTTCCTGCATCCACGGGGAGATTGGACTAGAAGCCCCGCCTCTGTTGTGTCATATGACTCTTTTCTAGCTTTCAATCTGGCAATCCTACAGCCCACACAGTATTTCTTTCTGGCTCAGGGTGAATTTTTCACCATTGCCCTAAGAGATGCAGGAAGCTGTGGGCCAGCCACTCTCATCATCCCTGATAATTGGCCATGCTGGCTGGGGATGGTTGGAGTTCGCTGGAGCCCAGCAATGCCTGGAGGACATTTCCTGCCCTATTGAAATCAAAGGGTGGCATCCAGCGATACTTGTCAATTCATCGAAAATAATGAGCCTGTGTTACTCATGTCAATAAATGTCAGTGTATCAGCTTTGGATGAAAGCCAAAACTTTTGTGTAGGATAGAGGCTTTGATTTGTGGCACTGACCACTTCATGACAAGCAATAGGGCATCTAGTTGTCTCTGTTGCAGGGTTAGGGAACTTGTATCCCTCTGAATATTGTTAAGAGACTCCGGCTCCCACCATCCCTGACTATTGACCAAGCTGACTATGGCCCATGGGTGTTGGAGTCCAGCGGCACCTGGAGGGCACCAGGTTCCCCATCCCTGCTCTTACAAGGCAGCTCCCTCTCTCAGAAGGGAATAACTCAGTGCTAAGTAGACCTGTTGGCCACTGTGGGAACAGAACTTGATGGGTCTTTGGCCTGATCCAGCTGGGCCCTTCTTACATTCTACCTCCGCTATTGCAGGCACTATGGCTCGGGAGGCCAAGTAGGGAGTGCTGTTGCGCTCGGGTCTTGCTTGCAGGCTTCCCACTGGGGCATCTGGTTGGCCACTGTGAGAACAGGATGCTTGACCCAGGTGAGCCTTTGGTTTGATCCAGCGGGGCTCTTCTTAAGGTCTTCTGTAAAAACTGCAATCAAAGTACGGTACTCTTCCAGCAGGTAGAGGTTGAAAAACCTCAGCCAAAGGCGAAGGCACCACTTGGAGATGTGTAACTCATGGACATTCCTTCTTTGCATTGTGTCTCTTTTCTTTAACCAGGGCACTTTCATGGAGTGCCAGCCAGAAAGCAGCGTCTCCCACCGGTTCCACAGGGATTGTGCCTCCCAGGTCAAAGGCACGAGCTACTGCCCACACTGTGGGGAAGAGGCCTCGAAGGCCAAAGAAGTGACTATAGCAAAGGCGGACACAACCTCCACGCTTCCGCTGAGCTACGAGCTGAAGAAAGCTGGGACTTCTGAGGGGAGGGCAGACACGACAACCGGAAGGTGAGTCCAGAGGGTGGCGGTGCTGAGCATGTGTTGGGGCCCACTGCCCACCTCCCCAGCCATGCTCAGCATTGTTCTTTTCTGTTCATTTTCACTCTTTCAAGAATGAGAGGGGTAGGGGGGTCTCAGGTCCAGGGCAAAATGTTCCCTGGTACCTGCTGCACGACACACGTCCTCACCAGCCCTACTGTACACCCTTCTTCCCTTGCTGGAATGTGTGCTTGAGCTCTGTCCGAATGAAAGACAGAGGACTGTTTTTTTGTGTGTGTTTTTTTATGGTGAGGGTGCGTAGAAGCAAGCCGACTGTGCGAAGCTAACAATGTGCACTTTTTTGCCCCCACCAATTTTGCCTCTGGCCCCGCTGGCACATGGCCCCTGGAAGGTTGCCCAGGTAGGAATGTGGCCCTTTGGGGTGGAGAAGGTTCCTCACCCCAGGTCTGCCTTGTGAAGTGCTACCCTGTTTGGTATGCCTTGCCTTGCTGCTCACAGCCAAGTTTGCAACAGCTGACAGCCGTCCACAGAATCCACTTGCAAAGCTGTGACCTCAAATGCCATCCTCTCTCTGGCCATTAAGTCTCCCGTAGGATGCGCTATGCACTTGGCTCTCTTGGAATGCACCACTTCATCCTGTAGGAAGGCAGGTTGCATGTTTTGCTCCTACATTATAAACTCAAGCTTCGCAAGTCACAGGGAGAAGAACTATGTGCTTCTGCCTCACATGTTAACTTTCTGCTGTGAGAGTTATTATTTTTTAATAGTGAGGGCTGGATCTAGGTAAGCTGCTTCTCCTACCTGCAGCCTGAAGGGAAGCAATCCAGTGAGGGTTGTACTGTCCATGTTCTCTGCCTTTCTGCTAAAAAGAGATGGACCACACAGTAAATGGAGAGAAGGATTTTAGGTGGAGTGGTTACAAAACAATGGTGTGATGCTACTGAGTATTTGCAAACTATTTGCCTTTAAAGCCGACATCTTTCTCCTTGCTTGATGCAAAATGCGAGAGTGTTATTAATGGTTTGTGAAGTGTGCATTTAACAGAGAAAGCATCCTCATACTGACATCACTGGCCCATCCAGCTCAGGATTGCCCACACTGACTGGCAGCAGCCTCCCTGGTTTCTAGGGATGGAACCAGGGACTGAGCGAGGGACCTTCTGAATGCAAAGCAGATGCTCGTCTTGCCCCTTATATTTACTGAATTGATTCCTGCTGTCTTCAGGTTAGATTCTTCTGCAGATACCATCTTATCAGAAAGTCCATTCCACACAATGCAGGAAGGTGGCCTTTTGTGCTCCCTTAAAATACACAAGGAGCTGCCTTATTCTAAGTCAAACCATTGGTGCACGCAGCTCAGTGTACTGACTGGCAGTGGCTCTCTAGGGCAGCCTTTCTCAACCTGTGGATCCCCAGATGTTGCTGAACTACAACTCCCATCACCCCTAGCTAGCAAGGCCAAAGCTCAGGGATGATGGGAGTTGTAGTCCAACAACATAGGAGTATAGCATCTAGATCAAGGGAAGTAATAGTGCCACTGTATTCTGCTCTGGTCAGACCTCACCTGGAGTACTGTGTCTAGTTCTGGGCACCACAGTTCAAGAAGGACACTGACAAACTGGAACGTGTCCAGAGGAGGGCAACCAAAATGGTCAAAGGCCTGGAAACGATGCCTTATGAGGAACGGCTAAGGGAGCTGGGCATGTTTAGCCTGGAGAAGAGGAGGTTAAGGGGTGATATGATAGCCATGTTCAAATATATAAAAGGATGTCATATAGAGGAGGGAGAAAGGCTGTTTTCTGCTGCTCCCAGAGAAGCGGACACGGAACATTCGGAGTCCAAACTACAAGAAAGAAGATTCACTAAACATTAGGAAGAACTTCCTGACAGTAAGAGCTTGTTCGAACATTGAATTTGCTGCCAGTAGTGTGGTGGAAGTTCCTCCTTCTTTGGAGCTTAACAGAGGCTTGACACCAATAATGGTAGAAGTGCTCTGAGGTGTTTCCTGCTTGCAGGGGTTGGACTCGATGGCCCTTGTGGTCTCTTCCCACTCTAGATTCTATGATTCTAACATCTGGGGACCCACAGGTTGAGACCGGCGCTCTAGGGTTTTTGGACAGGGAGTGTTTCCAGCCCCATGTAGAGCTGCCTGGGATTGACCCTGAGACCTTTTGCATTCATTCCATTCATTCATTTATTTCATAAAATTTATATACCACTTAACTCTGAAAAATCTCAAAGTGGTTTTCAAAAGACAAGACAGTAAAACCAAGAAAAACTCACAACCATGCTTTAGAACATGCAAAGGTTAAAGTATTGAAACAGATAAAATCACCTGAGCTTTCTAAGCCACCTGGGTAGGCTTGTATAAGCAGGAATGTTTTTAGCAGGTAGCAGGAAGAGAACAGTGAAGGCACCTGCTTGATCTCAACAGGCAGGGAGTTCCAAAGTGTAGGTGCTGCCATACTAAGCAATCAAGTGCTTACAAATGTGGAACAGGTGTTATGCGGCACCTTTAGCTGTGCCAGTTGCCCCAATCGAAGCAGTCAGGTGGGCACATGTGGGCTACCCACATCATGCAAAGCAAATGCTACGGCCCTCCCTTAACCCTTCCTCTTTTTTTGGTCACAGTGGGACTGGAGCACAGCTGTCTGAAGAAGTCCGGTCTGAGACTTCGTCTGCTGAGGGATTTGACTTGGCCGGGACATCTGCCTTTCCCAAACCTGCCCCAGCCTGTCTCTCCCAGGGACCAGTGAAAGAAACCTTGGAAAGCGCCTTGATCGCCCTAGATTCCGAAAAGTAAGAATGAGCTGGCTGTCGGCCCATGGGAATTGCCTTGGTAGTTTTTGTGGATGTTACCTGGGTGTGGGCCCAGTCAGTCTCTTGGAAGCCAGGACATATTCAGCAGTAACTTAGAGAAAGGCTTTCGGTGTGGCTTCTCCTGTTCTTTTCTTTTCTCTTTTAAAAATAATTTTACTAAAGATTTTCACGAAGTACAAAAGATTGCACAATCTCTTTTTTGTTCAGATTATAACAAATTATAATATAACCATATAACAGATTATATGGTTACATTCAGTATAAGGCTATGGTATCCGGGGGAGAGAGCGTGGAGGTTCTGTGGCAAAGCATTCCTGTTCAGATACGACAGGTGCCTGCTACCTGCACTTACCAGAAGGAACTGAAGACATTTTTGTTCCAGTAGACTTTTCTAGCTGAATAAATCGGGTCTTTGCCAGGAGACCTGCTCATTAGTGTTTTAGTCTTGTCTTTAAATGCATTTTTGTGTGTGCGTTTAACTGTTTTTAATTTTGTGTGTGTGTGTGTGTGTGTGTGTGTGTGTAAACCTCCTTGAGACAATAGTTTAGAAGGCGATTAAAAAATCCGTGTTGTTACTAAATAATAATAACCAGCCTTTTGTATGTAGGACCATACTTGCCTAAATTCTTGTCACCAAATTCTGATAATTTATCAGGCAGTTAAGAAACCCAGTCACTGAGCTTAGCTAAAAAAAAATAACAACTAGCAGAGCGTTATTTGCTCTTTTAACAAGAAATAAGCAAACAGAAATAGCCTTGGTTGACTTGTTGATGTTACATGGGTGTGGAACTGATCAGTCTATTTAGAAGCAGGATAATGAGCATAATGAACAAAGAGTTAAAAGAAGCAGAAAAAAAAAAGTTGACCATGCAAGTAGACCTCAGCCAACTGGGTGACTATGGTCATCTGTCAATAGGGCAATGCACCAGTCCTATACATTGGATTCATGTCAGTGTGGTGTGGACAATAACATGGGGGAGCCGAGTTCAAATCTCCACTCGGCCACCACTGAGCTCACTGGGTTACTTGGGGCCACTCACTGTCACCTCAGCATCCCTACCTCATAGAGTTGTTGTGAGGATTTTTTAAAAAGCTGGGGTGGGGGCGGGGGCGGGAGGAGAGGTTAAAAACTCTTCAGTAATACTAGTAATAACTGTTTCCTTTTGACAGACCCAAGAAATTACGGTTTCACTCAAAGCAGCTGTACTTCTCTGCCAGGCAAGGGGAGCTGCAGAAGGTTCTTCTCATGCTGGGTAAGTGATTCCCCCCATGTTTTTCTTAACTGATGGATAACTCCCATCACATGGCAGAGGCGAGTTTTGCTCCTGCTGAGAATGCAGCCTTGATTGATGCCTTGGAGGAGGAAAGGGACTGCACTTTAGAAGAGAGTATTTGCGCCAAGACTTCACCAGAAGGCTCATAGAAATAAACCTCAGTTGAAACCCCCTCCCAAAGTATTCAGTTATGTCAGGGCAATTATATCAGGGCTAAATAAGCGGATATATTGTTCTGCCTTGTGGTGGAGCAAGGCTCAACCAGGGTGTAGAATAAAAGTGGGGTTCAAGTAGGCCAGGCCAGTGTTCTGGTTGTGCTCTGGGGAACCCCGAGCTCTGTAGTTGCACCAGCAGCAAAAAGGCTGAACTGAAACCTTTCATAGCCGTAGCTTGTTTGCATTTCACCTGAACTGGGAAACCTACAGTTAACAGTGTTGGAAGAACCAGGATGCTTAGCCAGCTTCAAGGGTACAGGTTAGTCTTCTTGCAAACCATAGCTTATCAAATTTGGACAGCATGGGTAACCATAGAAAGCATAGTGATGTAGTGGTTAGAGTGTTGGACTTGGTACCTGGGAGATGAGGGTTCGCCTCCCCACTCAGCCATGAAACTTCTTGGACCAGTTGCCTAACCTACTTCCCAGGGTCCTTATGAAGATAAACCAGGGAGGGGGAGAAGTTTTTGTGCCACCTTGAGCTCCTTGGAGGACAGGTGGGCTAGAAATGTAATAACAAGTAAATAAAATATAGCCAGTAGAAGGCTTCCAGGTAGATTGGTCGATTTACTTGTGTTTGTGGCCAAAAGAGCAATTCATATCTCTGCTTATTAAGCTAAGGTGTGGTGATCCCAGGTGTGATCTGTTCCTTTAGTGGGAGGCTGCCTCACAACCGTGGCAGAATCCTGAGCGAGAAAAAGTCTTTGCTGTCATCAGGACCGTCTCCTGTAGGTCACGAGACTATTTGGTATCCCAGCTGTGTAATGGGGCAATTCTGTTTGCCTATGGAGGCTTCCTGATAATCCCTCCAGATAGCCAAGATTATCAAGGAATCAGATACAATCTTGCTCCAGGTGCTCCATCAGAAACAGCCTTCCTATGACTCTGTTCCCCTTGACTTTACACTGTGGGCCTGTGTTTGTTTTGTAGTGGATGGGATCGATCCAAACTTCAAGATGGAACACCAGAACAAGAGAACTCCTCTCCATGCAGCAGCGGAGTCAGGACACATGGACGTTTGCCACATGCTGATCCAGGTTTATCCCAGTTTTTTAGGGGTTTTCTTGGGGGGGGGTGTCAAGAGGGTGTGTGTGTTTCCTTGTCACTGCTCCTGCCAGTGCATCTCTCTGCCAACTCCCACTGCAGAAGCCCCGTCCCTGTCCAATCAACCAGTGGTTTCAGGTTTTCTATTCTTCCACTTAAACAGATGCTGAGCCTGTTCTAGTTTAGAAGGAACGTATTGCGAAATCCTGCTAGGGATGAGTCATGCTGATCTGGGACTTTAGTTAAGTGTGAATTGATAGGATGTTAAGGACCCCTCTGAGGTTTTCACAGGGTGTTTTGGCTGCCCTTTTAAAAGAGAGAATTAATTAACCTTTCAGCCTGTGTGGTGTAGGTTAGAGTGCCAGACTAGGACCTGAGACACCCAGGTTCGAATCCTTATCCGGCCATAAGGCTGTGTGTTTTTGTTTGTTTATTTTATACAACACCCTTCACCCAAATATTATAGTGCAGTATAAAAACACAAAAAGCATAACGTAACAACAACAAACACACCCACTCCCTGACACATATAAAAAGTCAAAGATTGCTTAATCAGCCAAAGGTAAAGAGGAAAGTTTTTGCCTGGTGCCTGGTGCCTGGTAATAGATAACGAAGGCTCCAGGTGAGTCTCCCCAGGCAGAGAATTCCACAAATAGCAAATATGGAAGGCCACAGGTTAGCCTCCCCAGTGCACTAGATGAATGACAATGTGACTTACTCCATTTTGTGTTGATGAACTTCTCTGCTTTCGGGTCGCATTGGCCCAAGCCATAGGCTCAGGGGAACAGGAAGCTGCATATTTCTTAGTGACACAGGATAAGTTGTTAATGGGCCATGAGCCCAGCTGTGTGACTCTCTGCAGTAACTGTTACCATGTGTATCTGTCTTGGCACAGGCTGGCGCTAATATAGACACCTGCTCTCAGGACCAGAGGACCCCGCTTATGGAAGCAGCAGAGAATAACCACCTGGAGACTGTGAAATACCTCATCAAGGCTGGAGCATTAGTGGATCCCAGGGTACTGATGGCGTCTGGATTTTTTTATATCTAAGGTGGCAATGGTCTCATTGGCATGTCAGATTATGACTCAGTGCAAATGCACAGGCAACACAGTCTCTGAGAGGAGAGAGCGGACACTTTGCTGCTCTGGCTGAGCTAAGCAGTGACTTTGCTATGTCATCATCAAAACCTGGGTTCATGGTTTAGATTTCCCCAGACTAACCACGACCCATAACCAGGGTTTGTCATATGCTTTGCAGCTTGTGGTCTGTCTGGAAGAGCTAAAGCACAATCCTTGGCTCCGATGACGTGCTAAACTGAACCTTATCTTTTGTCAGCAGAGTGACTGGGAGGAGGAAAGCAGCTGCAATCTCCTTTCTGAGAGTCCACAGACTCGTGTGTGTGTGTGCTGAGACACTAATTGGCTTAGTGTGACGTGCAAACCAGGACATGGTGTGGTGTTCTGCCCTCATTGGCAATGAGCTACTTGTCGCAAGATTGCAGGTTGTTTGCAATCTTTTTTTAAAAAATAATGTCCTAGGACAGAGAATTTTAAAGCAGTTCCAGGGACTCTATTGGCTGATTGATTGATTCAATTTCTATACCGCCCTTCATCTAAGGAACACAGGGTGGTTTGCAGTATAAAAACACAAAAATAAATAACATAATAGCAAAGAAAACAATATGCTCTCTCCCCACAAGGTTTGAAAGGCCATAGGTTGTTTAATTAGCCAAAGGCCAGGGAGAGGAAGAATGTTTTCGCCTGGTGCCTAAAGATATGTAAAGAAGGGGCCAGGCAAGCGTCCCAGGGGAGAACGTTCCACAGATGGGGAACCACCACAGAGAAGGTCCATTCTTGTGTTGTTACCCTTCAGTCCTTGCATAGAGGGAGCATACTAAGAAGGGTCCAAATCAGTTCATTTGGGGAGGGTTTTGCGTTGCGGTTTTGCAGTCCTGAGCCATTTCAGGCTTTATAGGTCAAAACCAGCACTTTGAATTGGTCCCATAAACCAAACGGCAGCCAGTGTAGTTGGGCCAGAATTGGCCTTATATGCTGAAACCATCTTGCCCTGGTGAGTAACCCGGCCGCTGAATTCTGCACCAGCTGAAGTTTCCAAACCATCATCAGAGGCAGCCCCACGTATAACGCATTGCAGTAATCTAACCTAGAGGTCCCAGAGCTTGGACAACATATTAAACACACCTCTCATTTTCCCCTTTGCTGTTTCTTCCTTTTCGCTTGTGGCAAGCTGTAGCATGGATGACAACAGGGCAGTTTGTGCTCGCAGGCGGTCACCTAGCCATTCCCTCCAGCCTCAAGATTTTGAGATTTAGTGTGTGGGATACACCTGGGGCCATGGTAAATGCTAAGGACAGAGACCTGCACATTCCACCATGTTACTCTGCTGCTGCAAGAATTGCACTGGCTGTCAGTTAGCTACTGAAGGATAGCCTGATCTCACCCTCCACCGCCTCAGCCTGAGCAGAAAGGTCTGCCTTGGCAGGACATGAAAATGGATACAGCAATGAGGCCAGACACACCTCGGATGGGAGGGCATTCTGCACCATTGGGGCCACGAAAGAAAATGTCCCACATGCAATGCTGCTCCACAAACGTCACAGGGCAGCAGACATGCTAGCAGGACCTCCCTCTTCCTCTGAGTGGGAAACATCTAGCCATTATTAAACTACGAGCCCATTAACCCTGACCATCGGCCGTGGTAGTTGTGACTGGTGGAAGCTGTGGTTTGGGAGCACCGGCTGCCAATTAGCCACCAGGCTAAATTCAAGGTGCTGCTCTCGCCCCTTATATACCCAGCCAATCAGTGTGCTCTGCAGGGGAGGGCTCTCACAGACACCAGGCTATCTTGCTCACCCATATGGAGGATAACAAGGAAAGTGTGGGGAAATCAACATCTGTTACCTTCACCACTTTTACTTCTGGCCCTGTCCACCTATTGCATGTGGCCGCTAGAAAGTTGCCTAGAGAGGAGCACGGCCATCTGGCTGGCAAATCTTCCCACCCCTGCTATATAACAAAACCTGAATCTAGACTGGTTTATTCATGTACAATTCCTGTAGCCTATTTATCATCCTTGAATGGTGACCTGATCTCTCTCTCTCTCTCTCTCTCTCTCTCTCTCTCTCTCTCACACACACACACACACACACACACACACACACCCTGCAAAAAAAGCAGCCCATTTGACTTCAATTGCTAATGAGCAGGAGTTAGTAGGAGAGCCAGAGATAATAGATTTCAGACAGGGGCAGCATGCCATGCCCTGCAGGTGGAGGTGAGCCTCTGAGGGATAGGGCTTAAGTTCCCTGGCGATCAGTGGATCAGTGCTGTGTGCATGGCTGCCAGAATGAGGTGGGCATGAGCAGTTGTGCTACTGAGGTGGTAGAATAGTCTCGTGTCACTTCAGGCTAAGAAGTGGGGGGAATCACATTTTTAGATGTGCCAGCTTAGGCTCGTTGATTTGGAAGGTGACCTTGGAGGTCCTCTACTCCAACCCTCTTCTCAACACAAGATGCATCTACAGCATTCCCAACAGATGACCATTCAGCCTCTGCTTAAATAACCTTTACCATCCTATCCTTAAACCAGTGCAGCAAGGGGAGACTGGCCTGAAAAGACTGGTGCACAGTAGCACTTCTTGCCATCCCTGCTTTCTACCTGCTCATTCTGTTGCCTGTGTTTCTTCTCCCTTCCTGCAGGATATCCCGCAATACCTCTTTAGCAAAGGGATTATCAAGGCATTACAGTCAACAGCCCCACCTCCTTCCTGTTTCCAGCCCAACAAGTATTTATATTTGCTCTGACAAAAAATGAAGTGTGACCGGTGGTGGAGCATCCACTTTGCATTCAGGAATAGGGCGTGTCAAATTTTTAAGCTTTCAGATTCCCCAAATGAGGGATGCTAAAAGGTTGTAACGTGACCCGGGAGTTCAAAATTTGTTTTAGTTAAATTAATATAGTTTAGTTTTGCTTGCTAAGTAAAACGTGTGTAAAATTGCATAGGAATCATTTAAAATGATTGCCAAGTACCTGCAGTTGTTATTATTATTATTATTACTATTATTGAGCGTTACCTGATATTCTCAGAAGATAACATTAAAATTCTTCGGTTTTCTGAAAGCAGTTTATGTTCCTTATCAAACGTAGACTTACCAGCTAAATGTTGTCCAATCACCAAAATAAAAGATTAAAATTCCTCACACCCCAAAACATTTTTAAGACCCCTCCCTGAATAAATTTGCAAAAATTTAAGTTTTGCCCCTGATTGCAAGAGGGTTTCAATCCCTGGCATCAGTAGAGAAATCGGAGTCTGAAAGCCTGGAGGGCTGCTGCCAGTCAGTGTTGACAATACTGAGCTTGATACACCAGTGGCCTGGGACTATATATATGTTCTCTTTGAGATGGGTCTCTAGCTCAGTGGTAGAGCATCTGCTTTGCCTCCAGAAGGTCCCAGATTCAATCCCTGGCATCTCCATGTAGGTCTGGGGCTGTCCCTTGCCTGAAATCCTAGAGAGCTGCTGCTAGTCAGTGTAGACAATACAGAACTAGATGGACCAGTGGCTTGAACTCTGCAATTTCTACTGCAAACGTATTGGGTTGAGGGCCTACACTCAGCTTGATGGGTCATATTATTTAGGCTCTGTCTTCCAGCGTGCTTTCTTCCAGAAATCCACACTGAAAACATACCAGTGACTTGAAGTGATACATATTCCTGCTTTTGTGTGTCCTTGTTCAGGATGCGGAAGGTTCCACCTGTTTGCACCTGGCAGCCAAGAAGGGCCATTACGACGTGGTGCAGTACCTCCTGTGCAACGAGCAGGTGGATGTCAACTGCCAGGTAAGCTGCTGCCCATGCAGTCCTTCCAAAGCATCAGGACAATGAGCCGTGTGTGGCAGACACTTGCACACTCAGAAAAACGCCCCCTCCCTAGACTCCCATATGCTGGGATGGGGGACCCTTTCAACTTTAGGGCCACACTCCCTTCTGGGCAACCTTCCAAGGGCCATGTGCCACTGGTGGGCAGAGCCAGAGGCAAAAGTGAGTGGAGCTACTAATGTTGGTTTTACCTTAGCACAGTAGACTAGCTTCTACACAAACAACCTCTCTGTCCTCCAACCAGGTGAGCAAGAGGCGCTATTAGAATTCAAGAACGTGTTCCAGCCAGGCTAAAACACTCAAGGAGGTTGCAAGGCAGGGCTGGTGAAGGGTGTAGCCTGGGGGAGAGTCCCAAGGGGCAGGACCTGAGGTTCCCCTTCCCTGCTCTGGGGTCTGGAGCTACGCAAGATAGGTATGGTAATACCACATTCTGCTGCTGGTGGAAGTGCAACATACCTGCGGACTGCAGCCTAGTAGTAGCAATAGAACCTGGAGATGTTCTGCATAGCCAACATTCTCCACTCCTGGACTGTCTTAATGCAGTATGGGAGCACACATGTTTGGAGTGATTAGTGCAACAGCCTGAAGTTTGCAGGCCTGAGGTTCCCCACACCTGGGCTGCCACCAGATGGAGCTTGGGGTCTGATCGAGCTGGGTTCTTCCTACATTCCCAGGATGATGGAGGCTGGACACCAATGATATGGGCCACTGAGTACAAACACGTTGAGCTGGTGAAGCTGCTGCTGGCCAAAGGGTCAGACATCAACATCCGGGACAATGTAAGTCTTGGGCTCTGCTCTGCTTAGTATTTGGTAGCAGTTTAAATTGTCAGGCCTGGTCAGACTGCAGTTTCCATCATTGCTGGGGATGGTGGGGGTTGGAGTCTAGCAACATTTGGAGGGCGCCAGGTTCCCCATCCATACTCTTTAAGAGCCCCCTGCCCCGCCCTCAGGAGGAAATGCATTTTCTAAATAGGGACATTCTCCATTCCTTGCATGCAGTATAGAATACTGCTCCTTAGACCCAGGGTGGGAAACCTGTGATCCGCTAGGTTCGCTCTTCAACTTTGGGTTGGGTCCCCAGATGTTGCTGCGTTTGTCATTCCCTCAATCTCTGCCCAGTTTAGCTAATGATGAAGGATTATGGGAGTTGCAGTGCAACACCTGGGGGCCCAGAATTCATGAATACTGCTCTGCGTGTTGCTGGACTATAGTTCTCGTCATCACTGGCCGCTGGTCAATCTGGCTGCTAGAAGTTATAGGCTGGCCACATTCCCTTGGGGCGGGGAAAACCCTTCCCAATTAACACTCTTCCTTGTATTGAGAACCAGGATTGGCCCAGGGATTGTGGTTCAGGGAAGAGGGGAACCTTTTTCAGCTCAAGAGCAGTGTTGGGCATTATAACAAGAGCAACTCAGAGCCTGTTTACTCAGGAGTAACTTTTGCCATGTTTGGCAAGGCTTACTCGCCAGCAAGGGCTATAGGTTTGCACAAATCTTTCAGGTGGAACAGTGAGTGGGTTGGCATCTGCCTCTGATTCAAGGGTGGGGATTTTTTTTATCTCGGCCAAAGGTCCACATTCCTTCTGGGCAGCATTCCTGGAAGTATATACACAAGTGGTGAGTGGAGCCAGATGCAAAAGTAGGTGGAGGGACAAATGCACATTTTCCCTTTGCACAAGAGGCTAGATTCCACACAACTCATAAACTCCTTCTCTGTCTTCCATGCAGACAAGCAAGAGGCATGGTCAGAGTTCAACAAGGCCCCTGGACTTCAAGTTCCTCACCCATGGCCTATACATATGCATTTCTCTGTGCACAGGTCTCTCTTTAGACTAATGCCAAACAAACAGACAGGTAGTAAGGTGGCGGTGACACACAGGTGTGTCAGGGGCCCTGGTCAGCGCCAAGGTCCTACTTCTCCCATGTTCACAAGAGCATTTGTCTGGAAAGCCTGTATTTCAGTATCAACAAGGTTATGCCTTGAACACCAGGCTGGCAGAGGAAGCACAGAGCAGACACAACCACTTCTGTTGCCATTGAACATCTCTGCAGGATGAGGCTCATTTGCTGAGTCTCATTGAGATGGGGGAGCAGAGCCCTCAAGGAAAACGCCCTCTCGCTCCAGGGCCTAGCTGCTAACAGCTTTGGCCTATGATGTGATAGGGAAGACGAGATTTGGTCTTGTTTCTGTTCCTCCACTCCCACCCTGTGAAAGATTTGTCCTAGTAGAGCCCTTAATAATAGCCCAGGAGGGGTTCCAGGCAGCTCTCCAGAGCTGAGCAACAGTAGAAAAATCCACAGGCTCAAATGATAAAAAAGCCCTTTTTGCAGCAGGCCAATCAGTATTCAAATCTTTCCAGATCTGGAGGGAAACTTTGCAGCCAGGAGCAATCAAGGGTTGCCCAGAGGCAGCCTCTGACTGAGGATGGTGGAGGCACTGCTGCCTCCCTCCATCCCTCTACAAATTTGCCAGCTGCTGGCCCCCCTAGGGGGACTTGTCTTTTCGAGACTTCCACGGGTGTCCTACATGTCTGGGTCACACAGTTCCTCTGCTAATACCTTCGTGTCTGTGGCAGCGTCTCCCCATGGATTCACCCAGATCATGCTGCGACCTGCAGACAAATGACTCATCTGTCCTTATAAGGCAATGAGGGCAGCCCTCGCTTCAAGCTTCCCCCTCCCCCACCATCCTCAGTGAACTCGGAGGCGGCTGTTGCTGGGAGCTCCCTGCCCCACATGCCTGAAAGCACAGCTTGAGCAGCCTAGAAAAGGCAGCCCACGTACTGCAGGGAACAAGAGCTTAAGGACAGGGTAGTCCCCCCCCTCCCTGGTGCCAAGGATGAGCACACTAAACTTTCTGTCCTCCCCCCTGCCAAATTTCCAGGAGGAGAACATTTGTTTACACTGGGCTGCTTTTTCGGGGTGCGTCGACATTGCGGAGATTTTGCTGGCTGCTAAGTGTGACCTGCACGCAGTGAATATCCACGGAGATTCCCCACTGCACATCGCGGCCCGAGAGAACCGCTACGAGTGTGTGGTGTAAGTATGCCCCACCCCCCAGGAGTCCCCCCCTCTCCCTTCATTGCCCTCCTCATGGGCAGGGGGGAGGCTCCCGGGATGGACGGGCAAGGGGAAAGGTGATGCCTTGTGGTACCTTCCCATTTCTTCCACTCAGCCTCTGCTGAACATGATAAAGGTAAAGGGACCCCTGACCATTAGGTCCAGTCGTGGCCGACTCTGGGGTTGTGGCGCTCATCTCGCTTTACTGGCCGAAGGAGCCGGCGTACAGCTTCTGGGTCACGTGGCCAGCATGACTAAGCCGCTTCTGGCGAACCAGAGCAGCGCACGGAAACACCGTTTACCTTCCCGCCGGAGTGGTACCTATTTATCTACTTGCACTTTGACGTGCTTTTGAACTGCTAGGTTGGCAGGAGCAGCTGAACATGATAGAGGTGTATAAAAGCTTTCCCCAAATGCACAATTTTGTACACTAAAAAGTTTTTCTTAGTCTCACAACACCGGAAAAGCTGAGCATTGAGGAAACAGTTTTTATCGTGCCATGCCTACTGTACTTATCTATTTCTTTCACGGCCGAACCAAAACTCCTTTAAATTTCTTGCTTATTGTGGCTTTAAAAGGGGTTGGGGGATGACACAGCACATATTTGGAATTCGCTTCCACAATAGGTAGTGATTACCTCCAGTTTAGATGGCTTTGAAAGAAGGTTAGACAAATCCATAGAGGAGGAGTAAGTCAGTGGCTGCCAGCCACAATGGCTACGTTCTCCCCTCCACCGTCAGAGGCAGTGTACCCGAGAATTGCAAGTTGAGAAACCCCTGTTTCACTCAGGTCCTGCTTTGGGCTTGTTGTCAATCTTTTTTATTAAATGATTGCACACAGGGTAGACGTTCAAACATTAGATCTCAGTCTGAGAATTGTGCATTCAAAGGCCAAGTGCATGGCCCCAGGCAAGCCACTTGAATCTGAGCATGAAACAAGGGTATTTATGTAATATATACTGCTTTCACTGTCAGAGGCAGTATGCCCATGAATACCAGTTGCTGGGAATCGCAAGCGGGGATAGTGCTGTTGCACCCAGGTCCTGCTTGCAGGCTTCCCATTGAGGCATCTGTTTGGCCACTGTGAGACCAAGAGGCAGGACCAGAAGGACCTCTCGACTGATCTGGCAGGGCTCTTACGTTCTTAAAAATGCCAAAAGTCAGGAAGAGAGCAGTGCTTTGCTATTTGCTTTTGTTAAAAAACTCTGGCATCGGAGCAGTACATTTGACTGCCATTCTGCAAACAGTTGCAACCAATAGTGCTGCGATTTCTGCCACTGGAGGGCAAAGCAGCCTTAGGTTGCCCCCTAAGTGTTTATCAAGCAGGCAAACCTCCAGATGCTAATGTTATTGCTCATGTATCAGGTCAGACTACCTGGGCCTTTAGCGATGGGGAGCCTGTGCTCCCTCTGCCCCCAAATGCTGTTGGACTACAGCTGTTACCATCCCTAACCATAGAGCAGTGGTTGTCAATCAGTGCTCCTCAGCACCCTGGTGTGCCTTGAATGATAGTCAGGTGTGCTGCAGGCAGCACTGGCCTCCATCCCTCCTTCCTTCCCTCCCTCTTCTGATGCCCCCTTGTGTCTCTACCTCCCAGAAGCTCTCACGGCTGTTCATTGCAGTGGCCCTGGCTACAAGCTCCCTAAGTGAATGGTGCCATTGCTGTCTCCTGAGATGAGTAAGTTGCTGGCCTCACATTCAGCTGCCTTTGACCAGGGGCATCCACTTCCCAGGTCCCTGTGAGGTGGCGTGAGGAAGTGCCTCTCTTTGGGGTGCCTTAGAGACCAGGGACTGCTGGTGTAGTGGCAGCAACCACCACCACTGCTGCAACTACTCCCAAGGAGGGGAGAGGAGAAGAGGCAAAGCTGAAGGAACCCTTCACAAGGGAAAGAGGCAGGAGGGTGCCAGCTCTGCAGGCAAGGGGCAACATAACTGGGCTCCTGAGGCGTGAGTGTGTTTCTTCACAGGGGAGCAACAGAAAGAATGTAGTTGGTCAAGGGAGCCATGGACTCAGAAGGGTTGAGAACCTCTGCCATAGGCCATGCTGACTGTGGTTCATGGGAGTCAGGCATCCAATAAGATTCAGAGAGCCTCCCCTGTGATAGAGCAGTTGGCCACCTAAAACATGGAAAGGGCTTCCTCTTAGACAGGTCCATTTCAACTGTGTGAAGGGGAATGGCTGGAGCACAGTGGTGGAACACATGCTTGGGATGCAGAAGAAGGTCCCCCAGGTTCAAGGGCTTAGTGCAGCCTCCCCCAATCTGGTGTCTTCCAGATGTTGGAATGCAACCCCTCTCCCATCATTCCTGGCTACTGACGCTGATGGGAGCTGCAGTCGAGCAGCACTTAGAGAGCACCAGGTTGGGGAAAGGTGGTGCACGTTTTGAAGTCCAGTGCCTCTTGGTGACTACTCCTCTAGCCACCCAAGGAGAGTTAGGCAGGCAGCTGTATTGATCCATTAGATACATTGATAGGCTTCATTGTGTATAATATACAGCAATTCTGCACAATCCTGTGAAGAGTTATCTGGGTATATGCTCCATTGAATTCAGTGGTGATTCCTTCTGACTGCACAATTAGAGGGACCTCACTCCAGGCCTCTCTGTCTGACCACTGGAACGCCCTCTGCGTCATTCCACTTTTAAGCTGCCTTATACTGAGTCAGACCATTGATTCATCTAGCTTGGCATTAACTAAGCTGACAGCTCTCCAGGCTTTCAGGCAGGGAGACCACCCCAGCCCTACCTGGAGAGGCCAGAGATTGAAACTGGGACTTTCTGTGTGCAAAATAGATGCTCTAACCACTGAGCTATAGTGGTGGTGGTGGTGATGTTAATTTTATTTGTACCCCATCCATCTGACTGGGTTGCCCCAGCCACTCTGGGCGGCTTCCAACAAAGTAAAAAAACACAGTAAGATATCAAACATTAAAACTTCCCTATACAGGGCTGCCTTGAGATGTCTTCTAAAAGTCATATATAAAGATAGCTGCTAGATGACTTAGGGCTACATTAGTTTCACATCTTTTTGACTCCCACCCTCTTTCCCCCTCATCTTGCAGCCTCTTTCTTTCACGTGGTTCGGACGTTGCCCTGAAAAACAAAGAAGGCGAAACTCCCCTGCAGTGTTCGAGCTACAACAGTCAAGTCTGGGTTGCTCTGCAAATGAACAAGACCCTCAAGGATTCGATACCTGACAAGCCCATGCAGGTGGAGAAGATACTGAGCAGGTGTGAGAGGTTTGCCTGCCCCACCCATAGGCCACTGCCCAATGCCGATGCAACTCTGGAGTGCCCTAGTGACAAGCTTAATGTTGGGCAACCAAATGTGTAATTCAAAAAACAGGGATCTCTGGCGGCAAAGGGTCATTCAGAGAGTCTTGGCTACAGATTTTCTAGTTTGGAAACACCAAGATGAAATGTCAGTATGCTCTGCCTCCCCAGTCAGAGACAGTGATGCTTCTGAATATCAGTTGCTGGAAACCACAGTAGTGGGAGAGTGCTCTTGTCCTCTGGTCCTCCATGCAGGTTTCCCACAGGAGTCCAGGAGGCTACTATGAGAAGAAGATGCAGGACTAGATGGGCCATTGTCCTGCTCCAACAGGGTTCTTCTTCAGTAATTAAAAGCAATGTCATACTGGTTCATTTATTGCTTTAGGACAGGCATAGGCAAACTCAGCCCTCCATATGTTTTTGGCCTACAACTCCCATGATCCCTAGCTGGCAGGACCAGTGGTCAGGGATGATGGGAATTGTAGTCGCAAAACATCTGGAGGGCTGAGTTTGCCTATGCCTGCTTTAGGATGACTCTGAGTTGTACCCAACTAAGTTCTATTAGAGTAGACCCATTGGAATGAATGGATTTGTTGCATCCATTGGTTTCAGTGGGTCTACTCTAAGCAGCCCTAGCACTGGAGACAATACACAGGGAAGTGCTCTCGCTTTGTGTATCTTTTATTCTTGTAGTTTAAAAGTGATTATTTTCTTCTCCCTGCTGCGACAGAGACATTGCCCGGGGTTATGAGCGGATCCCGATTCCTTGCGTCAATTCTGTCGACGTCGAGCCCTGTCCTAGCGACTACAAATACGTTTCGCAGAATTGTGTGACGTCCCCCATGCACATTGATAGGAACATTACTCATTTGCAGGTTAGACAGGCTGCTTGCAGCTACCTTTTTGATCTTCCCTTTTTTCTTTTCTCTCTCCTGCTATTTATATGATAGCCCACTTTGCACACGTTTCTTGAGGTGGCTTATGAAGAAAAGAAAGGAAGGCATACAATGTCCAGAATGAATGAATGAATGAATGAATCTTTAATTGCATCAGCCATCGGCCATAGCAATAAAACAAAAATACGATATACAGTACAATGCCCAGAGTTTAAAACATAGATTGAAAACCCCAAAGCAGCATTCATGGTGCAAAAGCCCTCCTGAAATAAAAACTGTTTGGACTTAACACCTGAGATTTCTCCCTTCTCCTTGTCGTGAAAGAGGGTGCTCTCTGCTCAGTTCACACCTGAGCAGGCTGCTCAATCCCCTCCTCCTCTTTCTTGTCTACTCCCTTTACTCCTTTGCAGTTTGTGTGGGAACTGATGCACTCAGTTTTTCTTCCTCTGTCATCTCCTTTTGGAACTTAGGAGCTCATCATGGAATGTGAATATAGAATAGCCAGTTCCACCTACCCTCCTCCCAATGTCTATTATGGCTCAAGCTGTGGAGCAGGTTAAGAACGGGACTGGAGCAAAACGGGGCTTGTAGACGGTCAGATGATTGGCGGCAGCTGCATAACCCTGCGCACAGCACTTTGGAAATGCTGGCGATCAGCTGATCATTGGGGATTGTGGAGTGCTGTGCCCTTGCAGCCCTGGACAGGCAAAGATGAGTCCTCTTATGCCCTTGCAGTGTGAGGTGATTGGCAGGCAGTTTTACACCACCTGCCTTTCAGACTTGGGCTGCAGTGGGTGAAGGAGCTCAGGATCCACTACCACTTGGAATCCAGTTCCTCAGCCCTGATCTAGAATAAGATTGCAGAATACAGATGTCCATCCTGACAAATGTCCATTGCCTTCCTAAAACCCTCACCCCACTAACGGGGCCCCAGATATTTGGTATTTCCGCCATCTGACAGAGAGCTTGAGCTCCAGAACCTTCATTGGCTTTTACATCAGGATCCCTCCTCCTTTTTAATACCCTTTTATCCAGCACTACGCACTAGTGACATGCAAAGCCTACATGATGCTTCTTCGTAGATCAACTAGCTGGGCCCCACAAGCCCTATGGTGGGTCAGCTCCTTGCAGGCCGGCATCATGCAAACGTTTGGATTATAGGCACATACACACACGTGTGACTTGCTGCTTCTTGCTTCTTTTGCTTGCAGTACTGTGTGTGCATAGACGACTGCTCCTCCAGCAACTGCTTGTGTGGACAGCTGAGTATGCGCTGCTGGTATGACAAGGTGAGGACATTTGCCTGCTTTCTCAGCTTTGTGGATTTGGAGGGTGTGGGTGGTGGGACTGGGGGGATCACTACTGCTCAGGCCTAGGGGGGAGCTCCTCTTCCCTGTTAAGAGAAGGGGAATCCTCAGATGGGTTATCTCTCCCACTTGCAAATTAAGTTGTTCTTACTCCTCCAAGTTCCACCCTGCCTAGTGCAATGTGCAGGGTCAGCTGAAAGACATAATCCTTTCCCCTTGAAATGCATAGTTTGATTTCCTAGGGGAGTCACAGAGGGTTTGAGGCTTGATTTGGACTCATTGCTTCTGCAGAAGAATCTATGAGAATGCTTGTGGGCAGTATTGAGGGGGTAGGAGACATACAGGTGAGATGTTGGGGAGCAACAGCAGCACTGTAGCTCTTTGGGGGAAGGTGAGCAGAAGCTTTTTCAGAGGCAGGGCTGTAGCTCAGTGTCTGTGCTTCTGCTTTGCCTGAGGAAGGACCCAGGTTCAGTCCCCAGCAGCAGCTCCAGGTTGGGGTAGAAAAGTACCCCACCTCTGAAGGCTTGTAGCACAACTACCAGTCAGTGTAGACAGTACTGAGCTAGATGGACCAATGAACTGAGTCAGCATAAGACAGCATTATGTGCTCCTATGTCTTTAAGTACGCTATGACTTGAGGGAAGGGATGTAGATCAGTGGTAGGACCTCTTCTCTGCAAGAAGAAGAAGAGGAGTAGTTTGGACTTGATATCCGCTTTATCACTCCCTTTAAAAGGTAAAGGTAAAGGGACCCCTGACCCTTAGGTCCAGTCGTGACCGACTCTGGGGTTGCGGTGCTCATCTTGCTTTATTGGCCGAGGGAGCCGGAGTACAGCTTCCAGGTCATGTGGCCAGCATGACTAAGCCGCTTCTGGCGAACCGGAGCAGCACACGGAAATGTCATTTACCTTCCTGCTGGAGCTGTACCTATTTATCTACCTGCACAACCTAGCTTTCGAACTGCTAGGTGGGCAGGAGCAGGGACTGAGCAACGGGAGCTCACCCCGTTGCGGGGATTCGAACCGCTGACCTTCTGATCGGCAAGTCCTAGGTTCTGTGGTTTAACCCACAGCGCCACCCGCGTCCCGTATCACTCCCCTTAAGGAGTCTCAGAGCTGCTAACAATCTCCTTTCCCTTCCTCCCCCACAATAAACACTCTATAAGGCGAGTGGGGCTGAGAGACTTCAGAGAAGTGTGACTAGCCCAAGGTCATGCAGCAGCTGTATGTGGAGGAGCGGGGAAGCGAACCTGGTTCACCAGATTACCAGTCCACCGCTCTTAACCACTACACCACGCTGACTCAAGGCCACAGGTTCAATGCAAGGCATCTCAAGGTAGAGCTCGGAGTGACTCTAGTCAAATGCTGTAGAGCTGCTGCCAGTCAGTGTAGACTTCTCAGCTAGGTGGACTAGTGGTCTGACTCAATATGAGATTGATTATTATGTTTACTTGAGGAGCAGGCCGGATGCCCTGGACCAGGATAGACCAGAGCTGTGGCATAAGTCCTCATTCTTCATAAAACATTGCAATTCTTCCTGTGCACAAATGTGCACCTAATGCACCCCTTGTCCACTTGCCCTCTCTGCAGGATGGCCGGCTCCTGCCGGAATTCAGCACTACCGAGCCGCCTTGGATCTTTGAGTGCAACCATGCCTGCTCGTGTTGGAGGAATTGCCGGAATCGTGTGGTGCAAAATGGACTCCGGTAAGACAGTTAATACTGGTTTTTTTGGGGGGGGGGCTGCTCACCCTGTTCTGTGACTGAGAGGCAGTGGGGGATAGTGGTAGGAGCAGGAGAGCCTGCAGCCCTCCAGATATCATTGGACTCCACCTCCTTTCAGCCCCAGGCAGTGTGTGACCTGATGATCAGGAATGATGGGAGCTGTAGTCCAGCAAATATTTGTGACTGCTGGTTTGCAGTGCTGGACTAGGACCAGGGACACCCAAGCTCAAATGGTGCGCTGGGGATAGTAGAGACATTGAAACAGATGGACATCACTCACTTGAATACTTCAATATCAATGGATCTACTTTGAGTGGAACTTGAATGGGCACATCTCTCAGCCTTGGGATTTAGAGAAAATTGCTTATCATGAGGGAAGAATCACATGCACCATCCTGAGTTCCTTGAAGGATATAGTTACCTAAAACCCAAGGAGAGTTTTTGAAATGGAAAGGAAGTGGGGACCAGGAAGCCAAAATGCCCTGGGTCACTGTTGTGAACCAAAGCAAATTCTGAAGGTTGGCTAGGATGAGGAAATGAGCGGATTGTTAGAGCTGCTGGGATATTCTTGTCATGCCTTATCCTGGCCCCACTTAGCCATTTCCTCTGACAGGGCCTTAACAATTAACAACAATAATTGCAATAATGGTACTTTTATGGTACAGTGGTACCTCAGGTTACATACACTTCAGGCTACATACGCTTCAGGTTACAGACTCCACTAACCCAGAAATAATACCTTGGGTTAAGAACTTTGCTTCAGGATGAGAACAGAAATCGTGCTCCAGCGGCGCGGCGGCAGCAGGAGGCCCCATTAGCTAAAGTGGTGCTTCAGGTTAAGAACAATTTCAGGTTAAGTGCGGACCTCTGGAACGAATTAAGTACTTAACCCGAGGTACCACCGTATATTTGAAAGATGCACTTTCATTCCATCTGAGTCTGTGGTGGAATTTGTAACCTTTTGCTCACTGTGCTTTTGATACTTGCCTCTGTCAGCTGGACGGGTGCCCTCAGTATTACTATATGTAATTGCATCATTACTGTATTTTGATCACCCTGTTGAATGTGTGCTTTATCACCTCCTGATGTATATGATTTTCCTTGCCTTTTTTTTTAAAAAAAGGGGGAATCCTGGGTGCTTTTAAATGGAACTGTTCTATCACGGGTATTTTAATTATTTGTTTAATTATTATCTCTCCTACACGGTCGATTTAGGCAGAGGGAGGGAGAGCGGCCATCCCAAGAATCGCCCACTAAGCTTTGTAACCGGGTTGAGATCAGAAGCTGTTGCAAGTCCAGCACCTCCAGCCTCTACTAGTTGCTTATCTCATCCTAACCTTCGTTGCCAGGTTTTGAAGCCCTTTGTGCGAGGCTTTAAGCTGTACTTTTGTCATCTTCATTTCTTGTGTTGATTCGAGAAATGCCCTGGGCCTTCCTTTTAATGTATTTTGAAGGCATTTTCAGGGCTTTGGTGTAGGAATGCTTAAACTGAGATGCCGGCGGCAGAGGAGGGGGGAACTTCCAGTTAGGCTGACTCTGCAGGTGTATTCTAAGGTGGTCTTGGGATTTCTACAAATCCAGCAGAATAGCTTAAAATGCATCAACATTTCCCCTTCATCCCTCTGCTCCTTTCTCCAGTTATAAAAATGTAGCTTTGAAGCAGGATTCTGTTCAAATTCCGGACACCTTCTTGATAGTGTGGTTTGTTTTAAGCCAGCACACTAGACTGCTATGGACTGATGGCTTGACACCCTTCTCAAAACAATCATCTTCATAGAATCATAAGAGTTGGAATGGGTCCCAAGGGTCATCTAGTGCAATGCAGCAATCTCAACTAATGCATCCATGACAGATGGCCGTCCAACCTTTGCTTAGAAACCTCCAAGGAAATAGTCCACAGCCTCCCAAGGAAGTCCGTTCCTTAAGTTCTTCCTAGTGTTTAGTAGGAACCTCCTTTCTTGTAACTTGAAGCCCTTGATTCGCGTCCTACCCCTCCGGAGCAGGAGAAAAGAAGCTTGCTGCATCTTCCTTGAGACTTTGGATGATAGCTATTGCATTTCCTCTCGCCTCTTTTCCAGGCTAAACATACCCAGCTCTTTCAACCGTTCCTCATAAGGCTTGGTTTCCAGACCCTTCATCATCTGGGTTTCCCTCCTCTGCCAGTTTGTCAATATCCTCCTTAAATTGTGGTGCCCAGAACTGGTTGCAGGACTCCAGGACATTATACTTCTGCTGATACTGTCTAGAATAGCATTAGCCCCCCCCCTTTTTTTTTAAATTTTTGCTGCTGTATCACATGTTGATCCATGTTAAGCTTTGTGGTCTACAAAGACCTCTAGATCCTTTTCACACGTACTACCTGACGAGCTAGGTTCCCCCCTTCCTGCATTTGTGCAGCTGGTTATTCCTGCTTTTAATTCTTACTCTTCCCTTTTATCAGATTGTAAATATTGCCTTTTTACTTGGAAGTGAGTCCCGCTGTGTTTATTGCATAGGATTGTGGCCTTAATGAACAAGGGAACCTACAACAAAATGTTACAGTGTAAGGTTGGCAGCCAGCCTGTTCTTCCAGGATTCTCTATTCCAACCCCACCCACTCCTGCTCAATTTTGCATTTCCACTTAAAACATGCAACATTTGGTGGCTGCTGAGCAAACTCAGCCCACATTGGACACACTCTCTCTCTCTCTCTGTTTTTCTGTTTCATTCCTCTCCCCATATTCTTTCTACTTCTGCTAACATGGGGGTCCCTCCACATGCTGGCAGACTGGGAATATCACTCAGTCGCGCAGTTTAGGACATACTCACACCTTTCCTCAGCAGAGTTTCTTTTTCTTTGAGAAAAATAAGCCTTTCACATAAATGTAAACTAAGCTTTAGTAATAAAGAAAACTACAACAAAATAACATGATGAGAGAAGCCAAACATGAGGCAAGTTTGAGGCAAGAAACAAGAAGAGGCACTTGGTCCCTCATAACTGACACTCTCAACTGAACACACCCTGAAGAGAGGGGCTGATTCTGGAGCAAAGCACACAAGCCCTGCCCACCAGACACCAGGCACTCTACTATTCAAATTAGGCCCAAGTGTTTTTCTTACAGGGACACACCATAGAAGTGGATTCTGGAAGTGTTGATGCTAGGGAAGCCATATCGGCTTCCTGCAATGATCTGCAAATATTTAAAGAATTTCAAGCTGGGGGCGGGGCATAGATAAAACCAAGAGAAAGATTGTGTAGGTGGCACATCAAGAATTATTCCTTGAAGGCAGCCTACATGACTCACCTGAATTCTGATCGGTAGCAGAGACTGGATTCTGTTTTGAGTGTTTGGCTGGGAGAGTAAACTAGTCTGAAAATGAGTCCTGTGGGCTGCAGGCTGGCAAACAGCTTCAAGACACGTTGAAGAAGAAGTGTCCAACTGAGTTCAGCTCAGAGTAGAGTCGCTAAAATGAATAGATCTAAGCAAGTCATGTTCATTATTTTCAGTGGGCCTTCTCTGAGTAGGACTAGCATTGGATGCAGTCCAAAATAAAATGAAAATTATTGGTTTCTGCATCAAATATTCAAGTTACTTTCAACTGAAAGCCAAATTCTGTCTGTTTCAGTGACACACATTGCCTCTGTTCCATGTAAAGCTGACATTACTTTATGCTGCAATTTTAGCTCGTGGGATAGTTTTTAAAACAGTTGGTTTTCTGATATTCCAGTTTTTAAACATGTTGACGTTTATTTTACAATTTTTCATATAAATTTTACATTCTTTAGGTTTCATCCAATGCTAGGCCTTTTCAGAATAGGCCTGTTGAAAATAATGGGCACAACTAACTTACACCCATTAATTTCGGGGCATCTGCTCTTTAAGTAGAACTTAGTTGGACACAACTTTGAACCCTCAGAGGTTTTGTTTGCAGCTAAGCAGGGAATTAATTCTGTTAAATCTACAAATGCATTTTTAAAAAATTGAGTGCAAGTTCTCACAGGGTTGATCTTTGCCTTCCAGGATTCGATTACAGCTTTATCGGACGCAGAAGATGAGCTGGGGCGTGCGGACAATGCAGGACATTCCACTGGGGACCTTTGTTTGCGAGTGAGTGCCTTGCCTTTAGAAAAAAACTGTTGGAAGCGTGAGCCAGTGTGGTGTGAGAGCCAGTGTGGTGTAGTGGTTAAGAGCGGTGGACTCGTAATCTGGTGAACCGGGTTCGATTCCCTGCTCCTCCACATGCAGCTGCTGTTCCACATGCAGCTCCCTGCTCCTCCACATGCACCTTGGGCCAGTCACACTTCTCTGAAGTCTCTCAGCCCCACTCACCTCACAGAGTGTTTGTTGTGGGGGAGGAAGGAAAAGGAGAATGTTAGCCGCTCTGAGACTCCTTAGAGTGATGATAAAGCAGGATATCAAATCCAAACTCCTCTTCTCTTCTTTCAACATAGTAGGAAGAGAGAACTCTCCTTAAAGCTTGTGTCACAAGGGCTTAGCCTTGCAGCGCGCCCCCCCCCCCAAACACATACTTGCTTACTCAGTCTCTGACCCTTCCGTTTGTGGACCCTTGAGTTTCAGCCCATGTGCCATTATACTCATATCTTGGAAGAGGCCATGGAATGTGGGTTCATATTCACCTTGGGCTCAGGTTTTATCCAGCTGAGATTGTGTCATATGGACTTGGAAATATCCCAGGCAAAAATTCATTCCCCATAAGAACTGTTTTCTGTGGCTGCTCTCTGCCCTCTCTTAACGATCAGGCAATCAATAGGAATGCTGTTGAAATAAATAAATAAATTCTGCAAGGTTGCCAAGTGCCAGTCACCAGCAACTTACGTGATCTGTTGCACTACCTAGTATGTGACAGTGACAAACACCTTGTGTGGTGGGTAGTGATGCACATGCACATGCACACTCACTCACTCACCCTCCCAGTTCACTGCAACTAGTTGCCCATGGGCTTAAAACAGGGGTAGGCAACATGCTGAACCACCCCCGCCCTGGTCCACTGCTAACCATGCTCCTCATTGTCCTTGTTGCTTTCTGTTCAGCTGCTCTCTGAAAGTAGGGCAAGTGCTTGTGGGGCACCTCAGGCCTGGGGACCAAATGTAGCCCATCACACTTCTCTATCTGGCCTTTGAGACACTCTCCAGGCTACATCCCTTCTGGCCATGCCCTGTGGACTGTGATAATGCCTCTTCTTTCCCTGCGCGGAGAGGTGTATGAGAGTGGAAACCTTTAATTTTTGCATGGCTTTGAATGTGGCCTGATTCATAAAAGGCATGCCACCTCTGGTTTGTGGCCCTCAAGAAGACTGCCCATGAGGGGATGTGGCCCCCAGGCTGAAAAGCATTCCCTAACCCTGTCTTCATTCAGCCTTGCTTCCAGAGCCTCCTTTTTCCCCCCACAGTAAAAAGAAATATCAAGTGCCCCTTGTGAAACCTGGTTCTTCAGCACAGCCTTAGGAAGGTTTGCTGCATTAGAAATTGGCCATGTTTTTACCCTGGGAGTCTCAGAAAGCTCTTCTTGGCCATCATTTGTTTCCCTTGGACTATCTTAAGTGGAGAGGAGATTAATCACGTTGATGTCTGGAGCCTGCCTGCTCTGGTGATTAATGAGCCTTCCTGGTTCTGCCCTTCACATCAGTGCAGGGCGCCTTTGGTTTTAGCGGCTAATCGCTCTCCCGCATTTGATGTCATAATCCTCTGCATGACATCACATCTATTTCCGTGGAAAAGAAAAGGAAGCACAGTGCCTGTGGTGGAAGTGTGGGCCTTCAATAACAGAAGGGGACAACTGGCTGTGAACTCATACATGTGGACTTCATACATACAATACTTTGTGGAGTTAAGGGAGACCGTTTGCTTCCTTCTGTCCTGTTTTATGAATAAGAAAATAACAAAGAGCCCTGGTGGATCCACATCTGCTCCAGCGTCCTGTTTTCACAGTGGCCAAGCAGATACCCCAATGGAAAGCCTGCAAAGCAGGGCCTGAGCACAGCAGCAGTACTCTCCCAACAATTGGCAGTCAGAGGCAGTAGAGGCAGAGCATACCCACTGCAGCTAGTAGCAGTTGACAGCCATGAATTTGTTTTACTCCTTTTAAACCCACCCAACCTGGTGGCAGTGGGTTCTATTAGCTTCCAATATTCAGCTTCATTGGGTGGTCCCAGGTTCTAGTATTTTGGGAGAGGGAGAAATACCGTATTTTTCGCTCTATAGGACGCACTTTTCCCCCTCCAAAAATTAAGGGGAAATGTATGTGTGTCCTATGGAGCGAATGCAGGCTCCTTGGCTTCAGCGATAGCAACGTGAAGCCTCCGAAGCGCAGAGGGAGCGCTCCCTCCGCGCTCCGGAGGCTTCTCGATGCTTTCGCTGAAGCCTGGAGAGCGAGATGGGTCAGTGCGCACCGGCCCCTCTCGCTCTCCAGGATTCAGGGATAGCTGCCTGAAGCCTCCGGAGTGCAGCGCGAGGTCCTGCTGCGCTCCAAAGGCTTTTGGTTCCTTGTGCTGAAGCTGGGAGAGCAAGACTCTCCTGGCTTCAGCAGAGAGGAAGAGCTGCGCAGCGCCCCTTCAGCGAAGTGGGGGGGAGAAATGGAAGGGGCTCCGTTTCTCCTGCCGCTTCGCTGAAGGGGCGCTGAGCAGAGAGGGGGAGAATTATTATTTTTTCTGTTCTCCCCCTCCTATGGTCCGGTGCGTCCTATGGTCTGGTGCGTCCTATAGAGCGAAAAATTCAGTACTCATTTTGTGCTTTCTCCACACCATGCATGGTGCCATACGCTTCTGTCATTGCCTCCCCCCCCCTAAATCAGGTGGGGGGAACCTGTGGCTCTCCAGATGTTGCTGGACTCCCATCTCCTGCCGTGGTCTAGCCAGCATGGCCAATGGTCAGGGATGATGATAGTTTTCAGTCCATCAGCAGCTGGAGGAGCACAGGTTCCCCATCCCTTTTCTAAACTAAAACGAAGAGCACATAAGGTGTCTCCTCAAAGGGTTAGTTTCTGTAGCCCCTCAATCATTTTAGTTGCCCTTTTCCTGTACCCTTTTCAGGTGTACACCTGAAGCTCTCACTTGGAGCCAAGAGAGATAAAATGCAGAGAAGTCACAACAGCTACAGAGAAAGCCTGCTTGAAAAAAGCATTCCTTAAAACAAAACAAAAATGGCCACCTAAACATCCCTAATTGATTCCAGAGGGCTGGAGGTGCAACACTAAAAGCCTGGTTACTAGTACATAACTAAATGAACCTCTGGGGTATGTGGCACTCTCAGCATTACCCTGTCAGAGGAGCACAGTTGCCAGGCAAGAGTGTCCCTTAGGTCTCGTATATTTCTTAATAACCTTTGAACAGCCCAAGGCAGTTTGAACCTCCAGAGCAAGCCTGATGGATGCGACTTTTCCTCAGCAGCCCAGGTGAATTTTTTACAGCCTCTGCAATGCTACAGAACCGCTTGATGAGATGCAAAGTCAGAGGCTCAAAAGACCTGAGAAAGGAGGTATGCAGCGTAAAGGCAGCCTAGCTAGCAACCTTTAAAGTGTGTGTCTGTTGATTTCATATACTTACTGAATCTGTATCCAGTCCTTCCTCCGCAGAGGAGCCCAGAGTGGCAAACAGATACACAATTTAAAAACAGAAACATTCTAAAACAGATTAACACATTCTAAAAACAATTACAGCTGAAAGAGATCTAAAAGCAATTACAGTTAAAAATGTTCTTAAAGTAATTACAATTAGAAATGTTATTCCTAGCACATCTTGTTAGAGTTGCTCTGAACCAGATTATTACTTTCTAATTAACCTGGAATGACATATTAGCATTGTTTAGGAGAAGGTGGGCGGAAACAGTTTCACCCTTAAATGTGCCCATGTGTTTAGGAGGCCCACCTTTTAACCACACTCACCAATGAATCTGGAAGAGATTGTGATGCAGGGGGGACACTCCAGAGTGGAAGGTTCCCACCAGCCCTGGCCACCATAGCAAATGGTCAAGGATGATGGGAGTTGTAGTCCAGCAGCACCTTGAGGGCCACAGGACCTCCACCCCAGCTTTAAAGGATGCTAGGAGGCAACTCTGTGAAGTGGACTCGCTGTGTCTTGGAAAAGCTGCAGATAGAAGAGGTGGAGCCTTCAGGGTAACCAGACACCTCTGCAGCCAGAGCAGGAGTGGGAAGACCCTCTGGTCTCTCCCTAGGCCACACCCCTCACTGGTCCGGCTTCACATTATTGAGTGACTTTGTCAGACTGAAAATGCTTTGGGAGCATCTCTAACAGAGTCGTTGGTATAGAGCAGGCATCCCCAAACTCGGCCCTCCAGATGTTTTGGGACTACAGTTCCCATCACCCCTGACCACTGGTCCTGTTAGCTAGGGATGATGGGAGTTGTAGTCCCAAAACACATGGAGGGCCGAGATTGGGGGTGCTTGGTATAGAGTAATGGAGGCTGCTCTGCTGGGAAAATGGAGCCCAGACTAAGCAACACTAGTCTGCTCTCAGCCAGCCATCACATGCCTGTCATCCTACATACAACCAGCCCAGAATGTGCTGGCCTTGCCTGTAAGCTTCCTCTTCTTTAGTCTCAGTGCTGTTCCCATGTAGAACTCAGCAGGGCAGAGCAGGACAACATGTTGGCATCACTTGTCATTGCCTCTGGACCCACCTACTGGTGGTCTCCCTGCCATCTGCCCTACCAGTCCCAATGGGCGCCAGCAAGCGCCTTCAGACTTTTCAGACCCAGGACCCTATTTTAACCCAAATATGCATTTGGGGACCCATTTATTGATCTCTTACCATGTAGTCTAGCTCTTCCTGCAGTTCATTAAAGGCCACTGCTCTGGAGTAACATGCCAGGCTGTGGCTTTTTCCTTCTGGGAGCAGAGTGCAAGCTGACCCCTTGAGGGGAGCAGCCATTCAGGTCACCCAAAACTTGTCAAAATGGAGAGGACTAGGTTTTGGGATGTTAAGGAAGAGGCTGTCTTGGAAGGAGGTTCTTTTGAATGCATCAACTACCGTATGTCCAAATCTCTTGCAAAAAAAGGGTCATTAGTCTCCAATTCTGGTTTCTCGTTTCTCCCACAGGTATGTTGGAGAGCTAATTTCTGATTCAGAGGCAAATGTACGGGAAGAAGACACCTACCTTTTTGAACTTGGCGACAAGGTAGTAAATCTGAAGGGCTCGCAGGACAAGCAGAAAGTGCTAAAACAAATTCTGCCTCTTCCCCCCCGCCCCACCCCCCATTTCACCATCTGTAAGTTGGTGTGACAGGAAGCTCTTCTCGCCTTTTAGGAAAAGCAAAACATCCTGTAGAATTGGGAAGGGGAAAGGGCTGAGAGACTCAGGGGACAGATGATGGGGGAAACTGGGACATCTTCTTCTGGGCCACCAGCTCATAAACAGCCTCTGCTGAGCACGACTCTTTGCCCAAAGGTGATGAGGGGCGGGAGGGGAACAAAGATTAGTTACCAAGGATTGTATCCAACGCCAGTCCTGCTCAAAGTAGACTCACTGAAGAATAACAGGCACTATTTAACTTGGATCCAGTAATCTCAGTGGGCCTACTCTGAGTAGAACTTAGTTGGGTACAACCCTGAAAGGCAAAATGCCTCATGCAGACCCACTTCCACCATGGGATGCTGCCCCTTAATAACTTTTAATTCAGTTGTTTTGCTTGTTCTTAAGGCCATATCTACACTATGCATTTAAAGCAGTGCAACACCACTTTTAAACAGCCATGGCTTCCACCGAAGAATCCTGCGAACTGAAGGTGTTAAGGATGCTGAGAGCTGCTAGGGACACCTACTCCCACTCACAGAGCTACAATTCCCAAAGTGTTTTAACAGTCAATCCTTCTTCCCAAGGAATTCCGGGAATAGTAGAGGAGGAAGGTATCAGCATAGTGCAAATGCATCCCCCCCTCCTCACAGGGTACTCTGGGGATTGTACCTCTGTGATGGGAATAGGGAGTTCTCCTAGCAGTACTCTGCACCCTTAACAAACTATGGCTCCCAGGATTCTTTGGGCGAAGTGGTATAAAGATGCTTTTATTGTATACTGCAAATGGGACCTCCATCTCTATTGAACGAAAAGTATTCAGTGGGGGGGGGGGAATGGAAAATGAGACATATTTGATCCTGTTTCCCAACTCTAGGAACTGTAGCTCTGAGAGGAAGAATGTGGGGGCAGGAGGGTTTTTTCTAGCAGTACTCTGCACCCTAAACAAGCAACAGTTCCCATAATTCTTCAGTGGAAACCATGGCTTCCAAAGAGGTATAAGAATTGCTTTAAGTACATGGTGCATACGGGGCCTAGGTGTGTGGCTAAAATACTGCGCAGGATAACTCTTCAAATAATTTCCTCCAGCTCCAGCAGAGACTGATTTTGCATGGAACAAAAACTCAGGTCTAATCAGAGGTTCTCTCTCCCCCCCCTCCCCAACTTCCTCAGGACAAAGACGTGTACTGCATAGATGCCCGCTTTTACGGCAACATCAGCCGCTTCATCAACCATTTCTGCGAGCCCAACCTGACCGCCGTACGAGTGTTCATGTCCCACCAGGACCTGCGCTTCCCCAGAATTGCATTCTTCAGTACCAAGAATATCCAAGCGGGAGAAGAGATTGGGTATGTGTAAGAGGAAGAGAAGGGAATGGCAGGAATGGAAAGCAGGAGGAGGAGGGAGGAGGAAGAGTTGCTTAAGCACAGGGATGGAGGCAGCCCTTGGTCTGCCAGGGACAGCCATTCCTTCAGGGATAATATTTGTGCGGTGAGGGGTCAGATTGTGGGCATCTCTGGGTATAGTGCCTGTACATCATGTCTGATCTCCAAGTGCTAGAAACTCACTCTTTCGGGGAAGGGAGCGGATAAGTGCTGGGAATTGGGATTGTGGTTCATCAGTTCACGGGGAGGGGAATTGCTCCCCCTTGACCGCCAGCCCTATCTCCATGGACTCCCTTGGGTCGCATGCTAGCAGTGGGGAGGTCTGAAACCAGCAGAGGTCTGGGTCAGAGCCTACCCATTTCCATCTCCCTGTTCTGCAGGCTCCTTCTCTTTGGGTTGCATTCAACACAACAAGGTCACACTCGGACCATACATTCAATGTGCATTTCATTGAATCGTGGAACTGTGGAGTTGGAAAGAACCACAAGGGTCATTAGTCCAACCCCCCCCCCTTGAACCCACAACCCCAAGATTAGAGTGTCTCATGATCTAGTGACTGAGCTATATCAAAGCTCATGGCTTTTCTGGATCTGCTTTCAAGCGTTCCTCCAGCTCTGCGCGGTCTGCTGCATGTGTTGGCCTCCTTCAGATCTGCGCGTGTGTCTTCACGCCCTCACCCCAGCTTACTCACACAGAAGCCATGAAACAAATGCTGAGAAGTGACACTAAAAAGCAAATCAATCTACATAAGGAGATGTCTGTAACTTCCTGCTCATGGGAACCCATTGCACTACAGTAACAGACTATCGGCTATGCATTCGGAAGGTCACAGGCAGCGTTCAAAATTAGCTGGGTGCCATTTGCACTTTGTGACCAGCAACCGGCCTTTTGAGCCTGAGTGGAGATGCCTTGGCCCCTAGCATCTCCAGCTGCCTGGCTGCAGCAAAAAGATGCACGTCTTTTGCTGCTGGACTACCCCACAAAACACCTTATTCACCTGGCAGCACAGCAGCAAAAGACGTGTCTTCTTTTTTTTTTTACTGCCAAGCGAACCAGGTGTTCTGCACTCATCTTTTGCTTCTGCACTGCCCTGCAGAACACCTGATTTGCCCAGCAGCAAAAATAAAAAAATACTTTTTTTTGCCATCACCGCACTGCCAGGCGGATCATCTGGTCTGGTAATGTGGAAGAAGAAGAAAAAAGTGCCTAGACATTTTGTTTTGGTGCCCACAACCTAGTTCCCACATGGCTCCTAGCTTTCCTACCTTAGCTTCTAACACTGGTCAGAGGTTCAAACCCCTGGTATCTCCAGGTAGGACTGGGAGAGACTCCCAATCTGAAACCTTAAGGAGATGCTGCCAGTCATTGTAGACAATACTGAGATTGATGAGCCAATGTTCACATTATAAGGGGCCATGACTCAGTAAATGCAGATGGTCGCTTGTTCAACTATTTTTTGTGGTGGGAGAATGAATTTTGAAGGTGTGGGGGTCATTAATAAGCTTGAACTGAGCTTGATTAAGCTTTCCTAGCTTTCTGCTGGCTCTTAAGATTCTGTTTCGTTTTTAAAATGTATTTTGCACTTCCCTCTTAAAATCACTGTATTCCTTGTTTATATTGGAACCCAACTTGGAAATTTTTTCTTTAAAAAGTCAATATTATAGGAACAGAAAAAGCTGCCTAATTACTGATTCAGACCATTGGTCCACCCAGCTGATTATTGTCTACACCAGGCATGGCCAAACTTAGCCCTCCAGCTGTTTTGGGACTACAACTCCCATCATCATCCCTAGCTAACAGGACCAGTGGTCAGGGATGATGGTAATGGTAGTCCCAAAGCATCTGGAGGGCCAAGTTTGGCCTTGCCTGGTCTACACTGACTGGTGTAGTCTTCAAGCTATGCATTTCCATCAGCTGAAGTTGCCATTCTTCTTTAGTTGGAATCTCGCTCATTTTCCATTTTTGGACTAATGAAACACAGGCCGTAGTAGTGGCATACATAAATAACCTTGTTTGACACCTGGGAAATTCTGTTTGAATTATCCCCAACAAAAAGGACTCTGTTTTTTTTGGGGGAAGGAATTGATTTTCAATTCATTATGGATCATTTCCCAATACCCTTTTACAAGTCTACCACAAATGGAAAAAAATGTTCCCTCAACCTCCTTGCATCCCCAGCATTTATCTAATTCAGTCTTATTCATCTTAACAAGTCTACTCGGAGCTAAATACCATCTGTAAATCATCTTCATGTAGTTCTCCTTCAAGGAATTAACATGCTGTGAACTTCAAATAACTTTTCCAAAGTTTCCCCCCAAGGTTAAAGTCTATACCAAGGTCTAGTGCAGGCTTCCTCAACCTCGGCCCTCCAGATGTTTTTGGCCTACAACTCCCATGATCCCTAGCTGGCAGGACCAGTGGTCATGGATGATGGGAATTGTAGTCTCAAAACAGGTTGAGGAAGCCTGGTCTAGTGTTTCCATCCAAGCTGATCCTTATAAGAACTACTAAACCCTTCTTCAGGCATTCACCCCCCACTTTGGCCCCACCCACTTCCTACATGTAGCCCTTGGGAGACTGCTTCGAAGGGAGTGGGGGCCTCCGTCGGTTGGTGGGGGAGCCCATTCCCGTGTGCTGGTTTTGGTGGTGGTGGAATGAACTGTGCGGCTTCCTCCTGCGTATATTTGCCAGAAGTACAACTCACTCTCTCTCTCTCTCTCTCTCTCTCTCTCTCAGGTTTGACTATGGTGATAGGTTCTGGGAAGTCAAGGGCAATTACTTCAGTTGCCTGTGCGGCTCTCCCAAGTGCAGGTACACCAGCGCCATCCTGGCTCAGAGGCAGGCCAGCACTTCATCGTCCCAGGAGGTGTTGGAGAGCCGGCTCCCTGACACGAGCTCTACAACAGCAGTGGCAACAACCTCCTTTTGAGGGCTTTCTACACACATAGAAAGAAAAACAAAACACCACCACAGATTGTAAGATATTTCTTTTTTATATATTTTCGAGCAAGGAGACTTCCCCCTCCCGCAAAAAAACCCCAACGCAAAATACCACCCCACAGCCCTGCAGCAGTCCAGCGTTGAGGCGCTGCTATTGAGTGTTACTGGAGAAAGGAACCAGGCACCTTGTGCTTCGTCACAGATGACGCAGGTCCGCCCTGCTTTCTTCTGGCACCCGCAGCAGACCAGGAAGTAGCTGGCTTGTGAACCAGGGGCAGCTGCTCTCATCCTTCCATGCTGAGAGGCCCTTTAGAGGCCTCTCTTAATGTGATCCCTGTTCTCCGAGCCAAGGAAGAGGTCTTCCGCCCACCCACTTGATTCCCCCACCTGAAAGGACAAGATTTGAATGGACTGCTGATGTTGCGTCTCTCCAGTTGTAGTAGAACTCTGAATACTTGATGAAATGTGATGATGATTATGGTGATGATGATTTCTTGAAGCCAAACCCACCTCCTTGGCACAAGCACCGGGGCCAGCTTAACCTTTGCAGGCAGACCTTCCTTTCTCGCTCATCGTCCGAGGATTGAAACGGAACTTCTTTCGAACAAGGTGCCTGCCTTAGCCAGCGTATTTGCTGTTCTCCGTCACAACCTCTTAATGATTTGTCCAAGCCTCACAGAGGTTCTCCCAAGTCCAGATAGGGGCTTCTCCATTACAGAGAGTTTTCGTTTTTCCCAGTGTTTCGGCGCATACACCCCTATCGTGCAATGGGAGGCTTGGAAGGATTCCTTATGTCTTACATAACACTAACTCTGGAAAAGGAATTGAGGATTCCCCCCCCCCCGTTTGTTTTCCCATACAGAGAAACTGGCACTTACAGAGAGGCCCTCTTTCAGGCATTTCCTGAAGCTAAAGCTCAGCCTGGGCACATGGTGGCAAATGTGGTCTATCTGTGCCATCACCGTTTTTCCGATTTCATTCATTTCCTCCCCATGACTCCCCACGTAAAGCTACATATTGTGAGGTTGACGGTTGGATCGAACTGATTTCTCTTGTACCATACTGGGGGGAGCTGAACAGAAAAGCAACTCACCCGAGCAACTCAACGGTGCTGATTTTAGTGTGATTTTTTTCTCACTACTACGTAAAATGAAATTTTCAATTGTATAATAAAAAGAAGAAAAAAAGAAAAGAACAAAGTGATCTTAGTATAAAATGCAGGGACGACAAAACCCACAAGACCTTTTGTTAGTATTGTAGTGGGAATAAAATCTGTCATCACCTTTTGTGCGGTGGTAAAGCAGATCATCTTTTTCCCCATTTATCTCTTAAATACTGTAATTAGTGCAGTACCAGGTTTGGGGACTTTTTTGTTTTGTTTTTTGTGGGATTAATTTTTCTTTTTTGGAGGGGGAGGGGTGCATCTCTTCTAAACTGTTCATATTGCTGGGTGGTCTTTTCCCCCCCTTTTCCGTTCTGTTAAATGTTTTTCTTTTTTTTCTTCTTTTTTTTGAGTTTCAAAGGTTCCCACCTTTGGGCTCCTGTCATTTCCTTGTTCTGTTTTCAATGAAATCAATAAAAAGTGCATTAAACATTTTGGCCCCTTTGGACTCTTTAGTCTTTACTAGATTAAATTTTTGCAATACTTCCCCTTGCGCTCCCTACTATGCACACTTTTATTCTAGTTTAATTAATCCAGGAATAATTATCATCCTCAGAGCAGGGTTCACTGTGCAGCTATATCACATGTTTCTAAGCAGCTCAAAAATCAGGCAATAACAATGGCATTTGAACATTTCTGTAACTTTTTTTTTTTTTTAGGTGCTCATAGGACTTTGTGTTATGGTTTTGTATTGTGTTCCCAACAAGAACCCTGAAAGGCAAGTCACTCATGGCTATCCTCTAAATCTGAGGCTGAGTGGCTTGTCAGACACCACCTCCTGCAAGTGGGATTCCAAGTCTAAATTAGAAAGTGGAGAGGGTTGCAGGTGGGTGTGCACACATATGCGACTTTATAAGAGAGAGACAGGCAAAGCCCCAAACCGTTAACGAAATGATTACTTTTTCTGTGCCTCTGAAAAGGGCATAAAGCTTTTCTTGACTGTTATTTACCTTCTCCATTCATTGCCTTCTCCAAACCATAACTCAGTGCATCACAATCTACAAGTAACAACCGCTCAGTGGTGCGGCATCTACTTTTCACGCAGAAGGTACCAGGTCCAGTCCCTGGTATCTGCAAGTAGGACTGGGAGAGATCCTGAAACCCTGCTGCCAGTCAACGTAGACAGTCCTAAACTAGACGAATCAACAGTCTTGCTAAATGTGAGGGATATTTCTGTGTTCCCAACAGCTGCACCTGATTCACATTTTCCCAGGCAGTTTGCCTTCCTTCTGTTTACCCAAACCTTCCTGTTACCCATATAGGATTCTCTATTTCTTCCATTCGTATAATTCTTGTCCTGGCTATAATGCATGTATCATTTAAAAAAAATATAAGTAGCCTCATTAAAGGCTACTCATCCATATGCACCTTGGCCAGCTGGAATGAGCTGCTTAAGTTTCAGTGGGGGTATTGGTGCTACTTAAGTGGAAGAAACTGAATTTATGGAGATTTGCTACTCTGGCATTGCTGGCAATGAAGGAGAATCCTAGTAATAGGAAGCTTTGCAGCAGGGGTGGGTAAACTCTAGGCCTGAAGGCTGAATGTGGCCCTCCAGACCTTTCTGGCCCTCTGAGCAATCACCACCACCTCAGCCACACCCATTCTTCCCAGGCCACACCCACAGCCAACCCTACTTGAGTGTCCTTTGCATGCCTGGAATCTGTCCTTGAACTCTTGCCTCTTGCTTCCCTGGATGAAGGAGAGGGAGGGTTGTGTATAGAAACTAGCCTGCTATAAAAAAAAGAGAGTAACATTTGTGGCCCCCAGAAGGCTGCCCAGAAAGGGAATGTGGTCCTAAGGCTGAATGCTTCCCTATTCTGGCATGTGAATAGTAAAGGTAAAGGGACCCCTGACTGTTAGGTCCAGTCGTGGCCAACTCTGGGGTTGCGGCGCTCATCTCACTTTACTGGCCGAGGGAGCCGGCGTACAGCTTCCGGGTCACGTGGCCAGCATGACTAAGCCACTTCTGGCGAACCAGAGCAGCACAAGGAAACGGCGTTTACCTTCCCGCTGGAGTGGTACCCATTTATCTACTTTCACTTTGATGTGCTTTCGAACTGCTAGGTGGGCAGGAGCAGGGACCGAGCAATGGAGCTCATCCCGTCGCAGGGATTTGAACCACCGACCTTCCGATAGGCAAGTCCTAGGCTCTGTGGTTTAACCCACAGCGCCACCCATGTCCCCAGTGGCATGTGGAATAATACTGTGCTAAACTGGACCCTAGTAGTCTGCCTCTGTCATGATGCTTTGCAGACTAAATAGTACAGGTTCCACTTTGCCAATGGGTGGTTCCTATCTGCTGGTTTTCCTACCACCATTTCCCAAAACTTAAATATATCAGAGTGAATCTGAGGCTGGTGGGAGACCTGACCGCTGCTCTGCAAATGTCACTGGCAAAAAGCATTTTCACACACCAAATGGTGATGCTCTGGGGTGACAGTGGAGGCGGAGGCCCCGCCAGTCTGTGATGGCTTCCCCTAGGAGTAGCAGCCTCTTCCCGTTGGCAAAGCTCAAGTTTGAGGAGGCCGCAGGCTATTCACAGCTGACTGCCCTCCTGCGCAGCCTCAGTCCGTGCTTGTTTACTCTAAGATAGAAGAAAGTCCATTTGAATTGCAGCGAGTGGGATTCTTGCACTGCTTTTCTGCAACTGCTCTCAGTGTGGGGTAAGGCACAAAGCAATAAATATGCAACTCAACTAAAAACACACCCTGTGTTGTCTATAAGCAAAACAGCAGCAAGATCTGCCTGAAGGATCAGCCTTTTGTTGCCGTTCTCCCTTTGCTACTGGTGCCAACTTGGGGTGGTGAATCGTTTCCCAGCTGAGGACCCTGTTTTCCTCTGGGCTGTCTTCCAGGGGCCATACACTGGTGCTGGGCGAGGCCAGATGCAAAGGAAAATGGATGCAAAGGCAACTGGAGTTGTTATCCTTGTGCAGTAGGCTAGTTTATATACATATGCACACCTCTAAGATGCAAGCAAGCAAAAGTCATTATTACAGTTCAAAGTCCACATTCCAGGCTTGCAAGAACACTCAAGGAAAATGAAGGGTGGTGGTGTGAGTGGTCTGAGGAAAGAATGTGGCCAAGGAAGAAGGGTATGGTATGGGGAGAGTTCCAAGGGCCAGATAAGAGAGGCCTGGAGGGCCACATTGAGCCCCTGGGCCTGAGGTTGCCAACCCCTGATCTAAAGAATGGAATGCAGGCTTCCTCATCCACTAGGAGGCTGGTCCCATTTTATGGAATAACAACAGCAAGGCCAAATAAACTCATACAAAGCCCGTTGCAGATCTCTGATAATTTATCGTTCCCAATTCGACATCCCCGTAATTTGAAGCAAGGCTTAAGTGCCAGCCAGTCTTAAGTTTAAAAGGAAATTTAGGATTGCATATAACTCTGAGTCAGCCCATTGACATGAATAGACCTAGGCTAGTCATGCTCATTAATTTCATGGGGCTACTTTTGAGTAGGATTGGCTTTGCTTCAACCTTTGGTTGTAGGGGGAGGAGGACACTTATTGAGAGACCCAAATCCACAAATGTTGACAATGATTCCCCCCTCCCCAAAATAACCTGGGAATTGTAGCTCTGTGAGAGGAAAACTAGAGTTCCCACTGTTCTTGGGCATAGGGACATCATGTGCTTTAAGTGAATGGTGTAGATTTGCCTACAGTTTTCCTCCTCTACCTCCACCCCACACATATGTAAGTCTACATTGACTGGAGGCATGAACCAAAGGGTGAGAGCAAAAGGACTCTTGGCTGAAGGCAGAAAAGAGCACAAAGGGGGTTTCGGCCTGAGGCTGTCAGCTATGGGCCAGAGGCTGCTGTGCAAGCTATGAACCAATGGGAAGAATGGAGAGGGAAACGGTTGCATGCCAGTTAGAGAACCTTCCTTCCTTCCTTCCTTCCTTCCTTCCTTCCTTCCTTCCTTCCTTCCTTCCTTCCCCTCCTTTCCTTTCCTTTGCAGGCATTATAGTAGATGAGATGGAATTGATAAATGCACTCTGAAAATGATACTTGAATTATAAGCAATACATGCTGAGGCAGGACCCCCCTGTACCTGCAATTAACAGCAACTCTTTATTCCCCTCCATTGTTTTCAGTACAAGATGGTTCTTTCTTTCATAAAATTGTGGTTTTCATCCTCACAATAACTCTGTTAGGTAAAGTTAAGAATATGCTCAAGGCCACAGCATGAGCCTCAGGGATTTGATCCTGGCTCTCCTGCAAGCCAGGCTTGAGACTGGATTTTGACAAGCCGTGTTTGTGAAATTGTTCCCCGGCCCAACCCCACCTAATGACATTTCTGGCAGCTGCCTGCCGTGGAGTTGAATTAAACTGGTTCAATTAACAGTTAATGGCAGCAGTTCATTGTTGATAATAAGGCTGTCAGGCTCCTGTCCCAAAACATGACAGAGACTTTTACTTCTTAAGTAATAAATCTTCACTGCTAATAGTATAGATTGAAGGGACGCAGGTGGCGCTGTGGGTTAAACCACAGAGCCTAGGACTTGCCGATCAGAAGGTCAGTGGTTCGAATCCCTGCTCCCGTTGCTCGGTCCCTGCTCCTGCCAACCTAGCAGTTCAAAAGCACGTCAAAGTGCAAGTAGATAAATAGGTACCGCTCTGGCAGGAAGGTAAATGGCGTTTCCGTGCACTGCTCTGGTTCACCAGAAGCGGCTTAGTCATGCTGGCCACATGACCCGGAAGCTGTACGCCGGCTCCCTTGGCCAATAAAGTGAGATGAGTGCCGCAACCCCAGAGTCAGCCACGACTGGACCTAACGGTCAGGGGTCCCTTTTCCCTTTACTTTTTAATAGCATAGATTCAGTCCTGAGCAAAAGGCCAGAAGCGAAGATCCCAAGGTATGAGCAAGGCAAGATGTTCATAACCAAATGGAAGTGATGAAGTTGTCCCAACAGTTGGCATACCCTTCCTACCAAGCTTTTAAAGACAAGATGTGGTGAGCTCACTTACTGGGCTCTCACCCTACAAGTCTGTTGTGCATGCACACCCATGCTCTGGCTTGATGCATCTAATGTCCCAACTACAAAGGCAGGGTCTGATCCCTGGCAACCAAACTTATGTCTGCCTCTCTGCCTCCAGCTCCACCACCACCTCCTGTTCAGCCCCTCCCCCTGGCTGGTCCAGATCCTCCCTGGTGGTAGCTCTGTCCTGAACCCCGGTGTACTTATTGACCAGTGCCATTGGTGTATACAGTTCCAAAGGCAAATGCTAGCAAGTAGTCTGGCACTCCAGAAGTCAGGAAAGACAGTCAAGGTTCAATACAGCAAACCCAAATCAAAAGTCTCAACAGTCAGGTCAGGTCCTGCCTCTGCAGCCAGTCCAGGGGCAGGGAACTTGGAGTTCAGTTCTGAAATACATGGTCCTGTGGAGCTCTTGGACACCCAGGCCATGGTCTATTAACATGGGGAGTTGAGCAGACAC